GGGTGGTGGGGAGTGTGGCAAGGTGAAGAACACATACATGCCCTATCTGATAGTGGCAGCCACTACTCAGCTCCAGGTAACTGCTGCCTGCAGAAATGTAGGATGAGCCGAAACCGGTGTGGCTCAGTGGATAGAGCATCAGTCTGCGGACTAAAAGGTCCCAGGTTCGATTCCGGTCAAGGGCATGTACCTTGGTTGCGGGCACATCTCCGGTAGGGGGTGTGCAGGAGGCAGCTGGTTAATGTTTCTCTCTCATCGATGTTTTTAGCTCTCTATCCCTCTCCCTTCCTCTCTGTGGAATAATCAATAAAATATATATTTTTTTAAAAAAAGAAAAAAGAAATGTAGGATGAGTGTTGTTAGATAAATCTCATTTTTTCCAAGAGGCCAAAATCCATATATTTTTTTTGCATGCTGCTACGTTTATTTAATTTTTATTGATTTCAAGGAGTAAGGGAGAAGGAGAGATAGAAACATCAATGATGAGAGAGAATCATTGATCCGCTGCCTCCTACACGTCCCCCCACTGGGGACTGAGCCCAAAACCTAGGCATGTGCCCTGACCAGGAAATGAACCCGAGACCTCCTGATTTATAGGTAGACACTGAATCACTGAGCCACCCTGGCAGGGCCAAAGTCCATATTTTAATAGAAAAATCTCAATATTCATTGTTGGCCCTAATTTTTGTGGTAAAAAAAAAACACATTTGGGCACCCCAACCAAATTAAAAACATGTCAGAGAACCAAATTAAAATTTAGGCCACCAATTGGAAAGATCTATCCTAGAAATTCTTCCCGGGCAGCTGAAGCTACAAAGATTCCCACGTTTATCTCTCTAGCCAGGACTTCCCTCCTGAGCTCCAGGACCACTTAGCTAGACCATCATTACTCACATGCTGCACAGGCACCTCAAATTCAGTATCTCTCTCTCTTTTCAAAATATATTTCTATTGGTTTCAGAGAGGGAGGGAGGAAGAAAGAAACATCGATAATGAGAGAGAATCACTGATCGGCTGCCTCCTGCATACCCCCAACCAGGGACTGAGCCCGCAACCCAGACATGTGCCCTGACTGGGGATCAACCATGACCTTCTGGCTCATGGGTCAATGTTCAACCACCGAGCCTTGCTGGCCGGGCATCAAACTGAGGAGTCTGCTCCCACCGTGCTCCTGCCAGTGCTCCCCCTCTTAATGGAGGAGACCCTGAAATGGCTCAAGTCTGGAAGCGGGGGCTCATCCGTGAGTCCTCCCTCCCCCTCGAAAATTCACCTTTCGACCTCCTAAGTACCAATCTGTTCCCCTCTCTGCCTCCCTGTTGCTACCACCTAGTCCATGCCACTGGCACGCCTCCTAGGATAGTATTACAACCTCCAGTGCCTCTGCCACCTGCTCCTCTGTTCTATCCGCCATTCTGGAGCTTTGAAAATGCTAAGCTCCCCTGGTTCAACCCCTTCAGTGACTCCCCATGGTCCTTAAGATCAAGAGATCAAGTCCCGAATCCTGACTCTGGTTGTATCGCAGCTATAAGCCAAGAACATTATATACAGGTTTATGTTTGAACATTTTTGAGTGACAACATCAAACTCATTTAAGTGAACACTGAGGATCTGTGAAAAATTCTGCCTTTAAAAAAAGTCTAGCTCTAGCCTAACCGGTTTGGCCCAGTGGATGGAGCATCGACCTGCGGAATGAAAGGTCCCGGGTTCGATTCCGGTCAGGGGCATGGACCTGGGTTGCGGGCACATCACCAAGAGGAGGTGTACAGGAGGCAGCTGATGGGATGATTCTCTCATCGATGCTAATAACTCTCTTTCCCCTCTCACTTCCTCTCCGTCAAAAGATCGATAAAATATGTTTTTTTAAAAAGTCTGGCCCTAAATAGTTCGGCTCAGTGGATAGAGCGTCGGACTGCGGACTGAAGGGTCCCAGGTTCAATTCCGGTCAAGGGCACATGCCCGGGTTGCAGGCAATTCCCACTGTGGGGTGTGCAGGAGGCAGCCGATCAATGATTCTCTCTCATCATTGATGCTTCTAACTCTCTCTCCCTCTCCCTTCCTCTCTGAAGTCAATAGAAATATCTACGTATATAATAAAAGCCTAAGTGACTGTTAAGGCGGATCCACCAGAACAACCGGTCGCTATGATACTCACTGACCACCAGGGCGCAGACACTCAATGCAGGAGCTGCCCCCTGGTGGTCAGTGCGCTCCCACAGGGGGAACACTGCTCAGACAGAAACCAGGCCCACGGCTGGTGAGCACAGTGGTGGTGGCAGGAACCTCTCCCACCTCCGAGGCAGCGCTAAGGAAGAGCAAGCAAGCGGGTGGTAAGAAGCAAGGGGTCCTGGACTGCAAGAGAGCACAGGCTGGGCTGAGGGACCCTGCCCCCACAGTGCATGAATTTTGTGCACTGGGCCTCTAGTATTAAAAAATAAATAAAAAGTCTGTATCTTACTAATGGCTTCAGGGATTTTTAAAAAAATATATTTTATTGATTTTTTACAGAGAGGAAGAGAGAGGGATAGAGAGAGGGTGAGATGAGAGAGAGAATCATGGATGAGAGAGAGAATCATCAATCAGCTGACTCTTGCATACCTCCTATTGGGGATGTGCCCGCAACCAAGGTACATGCCCTTGACAGGAATCGAACCTGGGACCTTTCAGTCTGCAGGCCGACGCTCTATTCACTGAGCCAAATCGGTTTCGGCTTCAGGGATGTTTTAAAGGGGAGTCGTGTACTGGGTGAGAAACTGGATAAACTCCAGGTACATACATGGTCATAGAGAATGCATGTACCTAGACATACGTAATTCATGTACCTAAAAAACACAAAAGGAAACAGACCCCAGCAATAAACCCCTCAACTTCTACCCATTCTCTTCAATGTGCTCTGAGCTTGTCATGTCATGCTCATCCCTGCATCCAACCAAGGTCACGGGTAAATGCCTATGGACACCGGGAAGATACTAAAAGAATGAAGTGAGTCAAAGCATGAGAAAAAAAATTTCTTGAAATCCTCAGCCTGCTTTTAACCACATATTTCCGAGTGTGACAGAAATCTAAATATAAGAAAAAAACTTCCCCCTAACTTCACTAAAAGGAAGCACTATCAAAAACATGATAAATGGCACCGGCGGCCAGTGTGGTTCAGTGGTTGGGCGTGGACCATTAAACCAGGAGGTCACCGGTTCGATTCCTGGTCAGAGCACATGCCCAGGTTGCAGGCGATTCCCCGTGTGGGGTGTGCAAGAGGGAGCTGATCAACTATTCTCTCTCATTATGGATGTTTCTATCTCTTTCTCCCTCTCCCTTCCTCTCTCTCTCTAAAAATCAATAAAAATGTTTTTATTGATAACTGGCCATGTGACACCTAGCCTCGGTGGAGGATCACAACAGTGAGTGGTGTGAACTGTGGCCAATTAAGAGAACTCAACGCTCCATTTGAGGGGTGCAGCCACCCAGCTCCAGCCACTAGCTGTCACATGGGAATTCAGGATGGATACCTCCCAATTTTAATACTATATCATATATGTAACCATACTTAAACAAATACTTTATATATAGAAATACATACATATTTTATACAGAAATGCACAAATCAATTTCCTGTGAAAAACGTTTGTTTTCTGCAAAGATCTCCCAATTAAAAAATTCTGGCAACAGCAGAAATCGGTTTGGCTCAGTGGGTAGAGCATCGGTCGGCGGAATGAGGGGTCCCAGGTTCCATTCCCGTCAAGGCATGTATACATTGGTTGCGGGCACATCCCCGGTGGGGAGTGAGGGGGGGCGCGGCTGGTCGATGTTCCTCTCTCATCCATGTTTCTAGCTCTCTACTCTGTCCCTCTCCCTTCCTCTCTGCAAAAAAAATCAGTAAAATATATCTTAAAAAATAAAAATTCTGGCCAACAGATTCAAGCAATCCCCCACCCCCCCAAACACCGTGCTGGTCAAAAAATAAGTCATCTGCAGCCGAAACTGTGTTTGGCTCAGTGGATAGAGCATCGGCACTCGGACTAAAGGGTCCCGGGTTCGATTTCGATCAAGGGCATGTACCTTGGTTGCGGGCAGATCCCCAGTGGGGGGTGTGCAAGAGGCAGCTGATCGATGTTTCTCTCTCATGGATGTTTCTAACTCTCTATCCCTCTCCCTTCCTCTCTGTAAAAAATCAACAATACACACACACACACACACACACATAAAAAAAAAAAAAAATAAGGTGTCTGCAGCTCAGGGAGCTGGACCACCGGTTTGCAAACTGCACTCAGCTCGCCTTCAGGGCGTCTCCCCGCCCCACAGCATCTGTATGCTCCTCCATCCCCCCTCGAGGGTCCGAGGGTCCCTCAAGGTCAGCATCAGGTCCCTCCAGACCTGAACAACCTCCTCCTCCTCCTCCTCCTCCTCCTCCTCCTCCTCCTCCTCCTCCTCCTCCGTCCCCAGCTCGCGCCCTGCCCGCAGCCCGGCTCTCCATCCTCCCGGGCGCCCTCCCCAGTTGCTCAATCCCGCCGGGTGTTTTCCCGCTCGGGCCTCGCTCGCTCCTCCAGGGCCCCCCTCGGTCCCCGGCCACGCCGGGGTGCACCTGGCCCGCCCGCGTGAGGCGCCCGCGATGAACCCGCTGGGCCGGCCCGGAGGCGGCACCCAGACCCCAGGAGCCCGGCCCCGAGCGGGGCGCCCCGGAGGGCGGCGGGGGGGACGGAGGGGGTTCCGGAGGGCTCGCCCGGAGCGGCTCGGAGCCGCATTGCATTTCCTCCCGGGCTCCGGCTCAGCCTCCCCCGCGCGGTCCCGGCCCGTCTCCCCGCAAAAGCCCGGCCCCGCCACCTCCCGCCTCCGCGCCGCGCGGGGCGTCGGAAAGCGGGGAAGCGCCGAGGCCGCGGCCGCCGCCGGCCCCGCTCCCGCTCCCGGGCGCCGCCCCGGCCCGACCCCGCGGCCGCCGCCTCAGGCCCGCAGCCTCTCGGCCGCCGCCGCCGGGCCGCCCCCGCCCGCCCCGGCCCGGCCCTCCTCACCCGCGACAGGGTGAGGTCCGTCATGAGCTGCTCGAAGGCCCGCGTCTCCTCGGCCTGGCGCTGCGTGTGCAGCGCGATCTTCTCACTGAACTTCCGCGGGTTGGCGCTGCCCGAGCCCGGCGAAGAGGCCATAGCGCGGCCCGGCGTTGGCAGAGAGGAGACGGCGGGCGCGGGGGCCTGGCGGCTCGGCCCACACCCGTCGGTCGGTCGGTCGGTCGGTCCGTCTGTCAGTCCGCAGGCCGTCCCAGCCGCCGCCGCCCGAGGGCCTTCCTCCGGCGCGACCCCGCTGAGGAGCCGCCGCGGCCCCAGAGCCAGCGAGCGGCCGGGAGCGCGCGAGGTCTGCCCCTGCGCGCTGGCCCCGCCCAGGCCCCGCCCCCACGTCCACAAGTCCCGCCCCCACGCCATCAAGCTCCGCCCCGTGCCTCCCGTTAGGCCACGCCCCCGTTCGCCAGGCCACGCCCACCGGCCCTGAGCGGAACCCAGGCTTCTGCAGGCTCCGCACCCCGCTGCCAACCAGAGGAAACCCGCATCAGCAAAGCAAACGGACCCCATGGGTGCGGGAGAAGCGAGCCTACTATTTTTTTAAAATATATTTTATTGGTTTTTTTACAGAGAGGAAGAGAGAGGGATAGAGAGTCAGAAGCATCAATGAGAGAGAAACATCCATCAGCTGCCTCCTGCACACCTCACTGGAATGTGCCCGCAACCCAAGTATGATACATGCCCTTGATCAGAATCGAACCTGGAACCTTTCAGTCCGCAGGCCGACGCTCTATCCACTGAGCCAAATCGGCCTCGGCCGAGCCTACTATTTCACTGGAAATGCTGCAATTTGGGGACAGCCTGGCTTCTGTATTGACGTTACAATTTTATTTTATTTTTTTAAATATATTTTATTGATTTTTTACAGAGAGAGAGAATAGAGAGCTAGAAGCATCCATCAGCAGCCTCCTGCACACTTCTTACTGGGGATGTACCCGCAACTAAGGTACATGCGCTTGACCGGAATGAAACCTGGGATCCTTCAGTCTGCAGACGTTCGCTCTATCCACTGTGCAACACCGGTTTCGGCTACGTTACAATTTTAGAACACGTTTAACACCCTTCTCCCCCAAAAGTAGGATGGTTTACTTCCTGGTGTGACTAAATTTGGAGCCATTCTCTCCTTTAGGTCCCACACGGCGGCCCTCTGGCTCCCAGCTCGCTCCCTCCTGAGATTCGTTTTTTTTCCGCTGTCTGCTCAGGCCCACCCCAAGTCCAAGTTACTTAATCCGGATCTTTTTTAAAACCATCTTCTGATTTGCACAGACTTGCGACACCCTATCCCCTGCCCTGGTGCAACCTCTTCCGTCCTCAGCGCAGGCTCCTTTCTCGGGTTCTTGCCAAGTCTCTCTGCGGCCTCTGCCAACGCTGGCTCCATCCAGCCCGGGTGTCATCCTTTCAAACCAGCCTGCGGGCCTTCGGAGTTTTTAGCATCTCAGAAGCCACTTCAGTGTCCTTGCTGTTGTGCATAAGGATGTCCTGGGCAGCCGAAGCCGGTGTGGCTCAGTGGATAGAGTGTCGGCCTGCGGAATGAAAGGTCCCGGGTTCGATTCCGGTCAAGGGCATGTACCTTGGTTTCGGGCACATCCCCAGCGAGGGATGTGCAAGAGGCAGCTGATTGATGATTCTCTCTCTCATTGATGTTTCTAACTCTCTATTCCTCTCTGTAAAAAAATCAATAAAATATATTTTAAAAAAAAATGTCCTGGGCATGTCTGTTTTACACATGGCATGCCTCTAAGTGCAGAAAACATGAACAACCCACGCCCTCTGCCATCAAGATGAGACATATCAAAACATTTTGCTTCACTCACTTGGTATTTAGCAAAGAAATACAAAATTAGAACAACTCACGCCCCACCCTTCATCACTCTCCATCCTCCCTAGAGACAGTCCCTGTGCTCAAGTGAGTGCATTTCAGTCCATTTTTCATGGTTTTTTTTTTATACGTTTATTACAGCGGATGTATGGGCCTACTCACTGCATATGGAATGCCAATTTTTGTTCATAAATCTTACAAAAATGACATGTTATAACCATTATAGCTTGTCTCCTTTTTGGTTCTTGTAAGTGTATTTCCAGTAGGACATGATCTCACACATCTGGGGGAAATGGTGAACAACATAGACGGATGAACAAGAACAGACCCAGAGACAAGGAGGCATGGATCAGACTGTCGGAGCTCAGAGGGAAGGTGGTGGTGGGGGATAAAAGGGAGAGATCAGCCGAAACCGGTTTGGCTCAGTGGATTGAGCATCCGCCTGCAGACTCAAGGGTCCTGGGTTTGATTCCGGTCAAGGGCATGTACCTTGGTTGCCAGCACATCCCAGAGGCAGCTGATCGATGATTCTCTCTCATCGATGTTTCTAACTCTGTCCCTCTCTCTTCCTCTCCGTAAAAAAAATCAATAAAATATATATTTAAAAAAAAGGGGGGGGGGAAGAGATCAACCAAAGGACTTGTGTGCATGCATATGAGCCTAACCAGTGATCACGGACAACAGGGAGGTGGTGGCATGCATGGGGAGGGGTGTGGGATGGGAACGGGGGAAGGGGGATGAGGAAAAATATGTGATACTTTAATCAATAAAGAAATTTAAACAAAAAAATAACGTGCTGAGTAATCTATTGCAGCTTTTTTTTTTATTATTGATTTCAGAGAGGAAGGGAGAGGGAGAGATAGAAGCATCAATGATGACAAATATTGTGAATCGGCTGCCTCCTGCATGCCCCCTATTGGGGATGGAGCCCACAACCCAGGCATGTGCCCTGTCCGGGTATCCAACCTTGACCTCTTGGTTTATATGTCAACACTCAACCTCTGAGCCACACCTGAGGGGCCAGCTTTTTTCATTTTCCCTTTTTTTTTTTTTTTTTTTTTTTTTTAAGATTCATCTGTTTTGCTGAGACCGGTTTGGCTCAATGGATAGAGCATCGGCTTGGGGACTGAAGGGTCCCGGGTTCGATTCCAGTCAAGGGCATGTACCTTGGTTGTGGGCATATCCCCAGTGGGGGGTGTGCAGGAGGCAGCTGACCGATGACTCTCTCTCTCATCGATGTTTCTAACTCTCTATCTCTCTCCCTTCCTCTCTGTACAAAATCAATAAAATATATTTTTTAAAAAACAAAACAAAGATTCATCTGTTTTAACTACCATGCAGTATTTCATTGTTTTTCATGTCTCTCATATACAGTACCGAACTGGATTTTTTTAGACTGTTTAATGTGACATTATTAGCTGGAGTTTAGTTTTTAAAAATTATAATTGATTTCTTCTGTTTCATTTTGTGCTGTTTACCTTGTTTTTTATATTTTATTTTCTGATTTCCTATTATATTGTCTGGGTTCATTTTTAGAGAACAAAATTCATTCCGAAGCCCAAACCGGTTTAGCTCAGTGGATAGAGCGTCGGCCTGTGGACTGAAAGGTCCTGGGTTCAATTCTGGTCAAGGGCATGGACCTTGGCTGCAGGCACATTCCCAATGGGGGGTGTGCAGGAAGCAGCTGATTGATGATTCTCTCTCAACTATGTTTCTAATTCTCTATCCCCTCCCTTCCTCTCTGTAAAAAATCAATAAAATATATATATTTTTAAATTCATTCCACATTGTTTAAGTACAAAAAGATTATTACAGGGCATAAACTGGCTTAAGGGCTTGTTAGTGGGGGGGACTAAAGAAGCAGACTCCAAGGTGAACATTCAGGCAGGACTTTGAGAGCCATCCTGCAGAACCATACCACCAATAAAGTCACTGCAACCTGGCCGGTGTGGCTCAGTGGTTGAATGTCAACTTATGAACCAGGAGGTCACGGTTTGATTCCTGGTCAGGGCACATGACTGGGTTTTGAGCTTAATCCCAGAGTGGGTGTGCAGGAAGCAGCCAATCAATGACTCTCTCATCATTGATGTTTCTCTCTCTCCTCCTCCCTTCCTCCCTGAAATCAATAAATATATTTTTTAAATTCCACATCTAGCATTGGTGAGGATCTGCCCCCTGGTGGTCAGTGTCCGTCATGGCGACCAGTAGTTCCACCCTTCAGTCGATTTGCATATTACCCTTTAACTAATATATAGGATTGTCACTTTCGTTAAATGCAGCTGCAATTTTAAACTTTCAGCCACTATTCAATCAGAACTTAGTAATGTTTATTTTCCCCACCCCCTTATTTCTTTTTATCCTGAGGCTACTTTAAGCATTTTATTTTAAAGAAGGCTACTCACATGTTAAAAATCTCTTTGAGCCTTAGCAGGTTTGGCTCAATGGATAGAGCGTCGGCCTGTGAGTCAAGGGTCCCAGGTTCGATTCCAGTCAAGGGCATGTACCTTGGTTGCGGGCATATCCCAATGGGGGTGTGTGCAGGAGGCAGCTGATTGGTGTTTTTAACTATCTATCCTATCCCTCTCCCTTGCCAATAAAAAAATCAATAAAATATAAATTGTTTTTAAAAGTCTCTCTGAGATAATTCAGTGATTTGGTAGCTGACTTGTGTTTGCTCCTTCCAAAGACCATAAAGGGTTGTTTTCCATTATTAAGTCTCTAATCTACACTCTGTTGAGCAGGAACTGCTAACAATGAGAAAAATAAACACAAACACCAACCAATGACCTTTTATTTCATACAAAGAGATACAAAGGCAATTGTGTGCTGCCCTGATCTGCTGCGCGGTCCACATTCTCGGGAGGGAGTACGTCCCCGGTGAATGTCATGATGGCTGGCGGGAGAGAAGGTCAGAGGGGGAGAGAGACCTGACAGAAGAGACTGTGGAGCGAACAGAAAAGGTAATCAGAGCTGTCATTGGGTTTGTCCAGGACTTTCCTTTTTCTTTTAAATATATTTTATTGCTTTTTTACAGAGTGGAAGAGAGAGGGATAGAGAGTTAGAAACATCGATGAGAGAGAAACATCCATCAGCTGCCTCTTGCACACTCCCCACTGGGGATGTGCCCGCAACCAAGGTACATGCCCTTGACCGGAATCGAACCTGGGACTTTAGGTCCGCCGGCCGACGCTCTATCCACTGAGCCAAACCGGTTCAGACTGGGCTGACACTTTGGCTGGTCCCAGTTTTGGAGGTGATGCTACTTGTTTGATAGCATCTTTTTTTTAAACCGAGGACGGTATTGACTAAGCAGTTATCTTGCAAAAAACAACAAAAACAAGGTCGAGGTGGCGGACGCTCCTGTCGAAGGCCTTTCCCACGGTCCCTCCCCGCCTGCCTGTGGGCTGCCTGGAGGGGGTCAAGACTCACACGGTTTACATGTGCTGACATGGACCTGACCCAGTCAACAGTCTGTGACCAAATAAAAAACACACACGGCTCCAACACGTACATCTGTGACAGGGACACAGCACATAGATCGTTACTAACAAAACAGTTTATTGTTATTAAATATACATTGGTTAGATTTTTTTTTTAAAGTTAATTTTTATTACGGTGTATGTCATGATAAAAGAATACTGAACCAAAACATCAGAGAAAATGGAGGCTCAGCAGCATGATTTAATGTACTTTCCTGGATAAACAAATTCTCTTTTTAAAAAAAAAAAAAAAAAAAAAAGTATGTAGCTTTTTTTTCTAATAAAAACTTGCTAAAAAATTCAATGTTCAGAATTGAATTTTTACTACATCCAGAAAACCAGAGTTCAGGACATGAAAGCGGTGTGGGTAGCAAGGGAAAAGAGAAAGGAGAGGGAAAAAGCAGATTGGAATATCAACTGTGCCATCGCTGGCTGACTTATTATAATTTTTTTTTTTTCAGTCTATTTAAAACAGGATTATCTCTCTGCGACCCTGCAGGTAAAAAAATCCTAGTGTTTTAGCTCTAAGAAAAGTTTGAAGATTTCAGATATACAGATAAGCCAATTAAAAAAAAATACCTTTCTGTATTCTAAAGACTTTAAAGCATTATATAAGACTTTAAAATTCCTGCCCCCCCCCCACATTTGAAGAAATAAATCTACACTTTAATAAGCACTCGAGATATAAAACGGTCTTGAAAAAATTACATCCTATGCCGGGCTAACCCCTCCCTCTGCCATAGGCACGGAGGGGACCTGGTTGTCCCAAAATCTCGTCCATTTCTGCAACAAGCGAGCAGGCGCCTCACCTAGGAGGGACGCCTCAGGACACCCTAAAAATCTACCTAAATAGCTGCACTTGATCCGTGGGACTCTCCCATCTGCAAGAGAGTTACACAAACAGAACAGTCAAAATTTATTTTAATGGCGAAACTTAAAAAAGCGTGATCTCCCGTTCCTTTTTCTTTTTATCTCCCCCTTTCTCTCTTTTATAATTTTTTTTAAATCTCCCCTTTCTGGAAATGCTTGCCTTGAACACAGGCACGTGTCTCTTATTATTAATTATTTCCAGCCCATCATGAGACACAGAATGGAGGAGGACCAACCACCTCCCGTATCCTTCAGTTTGACCCGACGGGACAAGAACATAAAGGAACTTCGCTTTTAAAGGACAACCTGATAGGATGCATCGCTTGGCCTTTTCCACTGCGTGTCGTCTATGCGTGTCTGCCTTTGGTGCTAATAAGCGTTCCCTTTCAAATCACAAGATTTCAAATCCCACCGTTCATATGGCTGAACGAGACAAAACACCGAAGCTGATCAGATAGCAATGCAACCTCTGAGGCCGAAACCACACCGAGAGATTTTAAGCAAAGTCCCCAAAGTGACAGGAGAGAACAAAGGAGCAGGAGGGGTCGGGCTGAGCCTGAGATCTCACTAGGAAAACCAGAGCTGATGCCTGGGGCCGGCCAGGGCGGGGGGCACGAGGCGGCCCTGGGCGGGCACCCAGCGGAGGGGCACTGCCAGCGGCGAGGAGGGGCGGGGGAGGGCTTCGGTCCCCCCTCCTCCGGGGCTGGCAGCCCGGGGTCCGTTACTTCCCGTAGAACTTCTTGTTGAGGAGGAAAATGAGGAGGTTGACGTTCACTTTCGCTCGGTCGAACAGCTTCATGACGGCCACACCCTCGTACTGCAGCTGCAGCAGGTCCTGTTGGGAGAGAAACGCCTTGACAGTGAATCGGGGCTGCGGGACAGGAGAGAAAGGACGTGGCTCAGTGGATAGAGCGTCGGCCTGGGGACTGAAGGGCCCCGGGTTCGATTCTGGCCAAGGGCACATGCCTGGGTTGCGGGCTCCATCCCCAGTTGGGGGGGGGGGGGGCATGCAGGAGGCAGCCGATCAATGATTCTCTCTCATCACTGATGCTTCTATTTGTCTCTCCTTCTCCCTCCCTCTTTGAAATCAATAAAGAAATATAGCCCTAACCGGTTTGGCTCAGTGGATAGAGCTCCGGCCTGACCTGGTTCAATTCCTGATCAGGGCACATGACCAGGTTACCGGCTCAATCCCCTGTAGGGGGTAACTGATCACTGATGTTTCTCTATCATTGATGTTTCTATCTATCCCTCTCCTTTCCTCTCTCTCTATAAAAAAAAAAAAAAAAAAAAAAAAAAAAAAAATCCATAAAAATATATTTAAAAAATAAACAGCCCTATCCAGTTTGGCTCAGTAGATAAGAGCATCAGCCTGTGGACCAAGCGGTCCTGGGTTCGATTCCGGTCAAGGGCCTGTACCTTGGTTGCGGGCACATCCCCAATAGGGGGCATGCAGGAGGCAGCTGATGGATGTTTCTCTCTCATCGATGTTTCTAACTCTCTATCCCTCTCCCTTCCTCTCTGTAAAAAAATTAATAAAATACATTTTTTTTTTTAAAAATTAGATTAAAAACGAAAAGTGAAAAAAGCACCCGAGGAGGCTTACAACTGTGCACTGTCCGGGCTTACACTTAGGCCTTTTGTTCGCGTCCAAGGTATCAGCCCCGCCGAGTGGCCACACGAACAGGAGCTTTGGGGAGCGTCTCTCTGAGGGTTCCCGCAGCCCCGGGCGCCCAGACCACATCACACAGCGACCAGGCCCGGCGCCTCTCTCCGCCGCCACACACAGACACACACACACACACACACACACACACCACACACACACACACACATCACACACACAGACACACACATACACACACATCACACACACACATCACACACAGACACACACACACACACTCACACACAGATGCACACAGACTCACACACAGACACACACACACATGCACACACACACACATCACACACACACAGACACAAACACACACAGACACAGACACAAACACACACACACTCACACACAGACGCACACATCACACACAGACACACACACAGACGCACACATCACACACACGCACAGACGTACACGTGTGCACACACACACTCACACACACAGAGACACAGAGACACAGACACTCACACACACACACGCACGCGTGCACACACACACAGCCGCACACAGATGCACACACACGTGCACACACACGTACACACACACACACACACACATGCACACGCACACGGCCGCGTTCTCCGGGCGGCCTCCTGCCTGCCGCCGCTCCGGCCTGGCCGAGGACCCGACCACCCTGGGCGCAGGGCTCCAGGTCCGCCCGGCGCACACCCACCTGGTAATGCAGCATGAACGTCTCCATCTGGACGCCCATGAACTTGGCTTTCACTTCAAAGTCACCCACTTCTTCGGTTGGAGTGATTTCAAAGATAACATTCTTAAACCTGTTGGAACATAACATCAGGGGGGGTGATTTTTTTAATGTATTCCTATAAAAATACCCCATGAAATAAATGCAAAGGAGGGGATGGACAGTGACTTCGGGAGTGGCACAGGGGGACAAGGCCAAGGTCCCAGGATGTCTAGAGGTGAAACCGCGAAGGAAGGTTTTGGGTTTGGAGAGAAGAATGGCATCCCGCCCCACCTCCCCCTCCCAGGACCCCCGGAGTTCTCTTTCTTTCTTTGTTCTTTCTTTTTTTAAAATATATTTTATTGATTTGTGTTTTTTGTTGTTGTTTGTTTTTTTTTTTTTCACAGAGAGGAAGAGAGAGGGATAGAGAGTTAGAAACATCGAGAATCATCAATCAGCTGCCTCTTGCACACCCCCTACTGGGGATGTGCCCGCAACCAAGGTACATGCCCTTGACCGGAATCGAACCTGGGACCTTTCAGTCCGCAGGCTGATGCTCTATCCACTGAGCCACACCGGTTTCGGCTCTCCTGCTTTCTACAGAAAAAGGAGCCCCTGAGGAATGCCGCCAATGGCCTCGGAGGGGGTGATGTCAGAGGAATGCGCTGGCCCGCCTTGTGGCCACTGCGGAAACCTGGGTAGAAGGAGAACCAAGAGCAAGCTGGCCAGGAAGGAGAGGGCGGCCAGAGGGTGTGTGAGAACGCACACGTGTTTCAAACTGGAAGAAGCGCCCGGGACGGTTTGGCTCAGTGGTCAGAGCATCTTGGCCTGTGGAATGAAGCATCTTGGATTTGATTCTGGTCAAGGGCATGTGCCAGTGTTGCCGGCTCAATCCCCAGGGGAGGGCGTGCAGGAGGCAGCTGATCGGTGATTCTCTCTCATCATGGATGTTTCTATCTTTCTCTCCCTCTCCCGTCCTCTCTGAAATCAGTAATAATTTAAAAAAATGTATTAAAAAATACTAAGGCATCGAAAAGATCTTAAAACAAAACAAAACGAACAAACAAAAAAAGAGGGACTGAGAGGCTGAGAGAGGTCACAAAATCCAGGCCCCAAAACACATGCATTTTACTCAACAGGAGAGCCTCACAGGGCATTTCTTAAGATATTTATTTGCCGAAACCAGTTTGGCTCAGTGGATGGAGTGTCGGTCTGCGGACTGAAGGGTCCCAGGTTCGATCCCGGTCAAGGGCATGTACATTGGTTGCAGGCACATCCCCAGTGGGGGGGTGAAGGAGGCAGCTGGTCGATGTTTCTCTCTCATCGATGTTTCTAACTCTCTATCCCTCTCCCTTCCTCTATGTAAAAAATAAAAGTATATTTTAAAAAAAGATATTTATTTGATGTGACAATTTTATTTTAACTGACTTCTTTTGTTATATCGTGTCTAAACCCATAACAGCAAATTAAAAAGAAGAAAGAGAGGCAAATAATGGCAGGCACTTGAACAGTAGTGGGAAATGATGAAGAAATAAGAGAAGAAATAAATATTATGAAATGAAAAATGCATAAAGTACCCAACCAAAAAACCCCCCAAAAGACCAAGATCCCCAATTGAAACAATGACCAGAGAGAATCCAGACAATAAGCCACGTTTTACACACACACACAGAATTCAAAGAAATGCAAAACTTTAAAATGAGATTCTTTTTTTAAAACTATTAAGCTCAAAAATGCCAAACATTATTTTACTATTCATTGATGGAAAGAAAGTCGTGAGATAAGTAAGCACTTTCATACACATTTCAGACACAAGTGAAAATATATATGTATATTTTAAAAAAAATATATTTTATTGATTTTTTACAGAGAGGAAGGAAGAGAGATAGAGAGCTAGAAACATCAATGAGAGAGAAACACCAATCAGCCGCCTCCTGCACACCCCCTACTGGGGATGTACCCACAACCAAGGTACATGCCCTTAACCGGAATCGAACCTGGGACCTCTCAGTCCACAGACCGATGTTCTATCCGCTGAGCCAAACCGGTTTCGGCACAAGTGAAAAATATTTTGGTAATAGGTAAAAAGTTAAAAAAATGTTTCAATGGAAACAACAGTATGTCAGTTCCTCAAAAAACTAAAACTGTAACTATCTAATGGTCTAGCAATCCCACTTCTGTTTATTTATCCAAAAGAATTGGAAGCAGAATCTCAAAGCGGCATTTCACTTTCACGTTCATGGCAGCGTTATTCACAATAGCAGAGAGGTGGGAACAGCCCAAATGGCCATCGATGGATGGGTGAATAAACAAAATGTGGTTTATATACACAGTGGAGAATTACTCAGCCTTAAAAAGGAAGGACGCCGAAACCGGTTTGGCTCAGTGGATAGAGCGTCGGCCTGCGGACTGAAAGGTCCCAGGTTCGATTCCGGTCAAGGGCATGTGCCTTGGTTGCGGGCACATCCCCGGTAGGGAGCGTGCAGGATGCAACTGGTCGATGATTCTCTCTCATCAACATTTCTATCCCTCTACCCCTCTCCCTTCCTCTCTGTAAAAATTCAATTAAAAAAAAAAAAAAAAAAATATATATATATATATATATATATATATATATATATATATATATTTTTTTTTTTTTTAAGGAAGGACATGTCACAGGTTAAACATGGATGGCCTGTGAGGATAGCATGGTAAGTGAATAAGTCATTCATAAAAAAATAGAAAAAAATAAGACAGAAAGGCAGGATGGTGGCTACCCGGGGCTTAGAAATTAGAATAAATTATTTAATGGGTTCAGAGTCTCAGGGTTTTTTTCTTGTTGTTGTTTATTTTTAAATATTTTTATTAGTTGTTTGTTGTTGTTTTTTTTTAAAGAGAGAGACAGAGGAAGGAGAGGGGAGAGCGGAAGAGGGCCAGAGACTCAGTTTTACACGTTGTCTTTGTTTGGAAACAGAAGAAATGGGAGAAATGGCTTCCTGTTTTAAAGAGGAAAAATTAAAATGGGATCCACAAAGCAGGTGTGAAAATGTCCCGAGACAAATGTTCCACAAACAAGGAAAAGAAATACTTCCTGCTGATAACAGACAATTAACACAGTACTGGGTCTAATTCTGCACATACATACACATAAATAGATAGAAAAGAATTATTAAAATGATCATCCCGCTAAGAGAAATAAAGGCAATCATATAAAGATGTGATAAATTAAAAATAAATGAGTAAATGGATAAATTTTTAAAAAAATCAATGTACAAAATAAAGTTAAAAGGCAAATACTTACTGATTCACTTGGAGGTCCTCAATTTCCAGAAGAACCCCCTTTTCATGTAATCTCGCTGCCGTGTATTTCAGAGAAATCTTTTTGCTTTTCTTCCCTTTCATTTCCCTGGGCTTCTTGGAGACCCTGTAAGATGACATTACGTCACTTTCTTTTCTTTTTTTTTTTTTTTTAATATATTTTATTGATTTTTTACAGAGAAGAAGAGAGAGGGATAGAGAATTAGAAACATCGACGAGAGAGAATCATGATCAGCTGCCTCCTGCACACCCCCTACTGGGGATGTGCCCGCAACCAAGGTCCATGCCCTTGACCGGAATCGAACCTGGGACCTTTCAGTCCGCAGGCTGATGCTCTATCCACTGAGCCACACCGGTTTCGGCTCATGTCACTTTCTATAACTATCTACTTTGATTCTATTGGTAATTCGAAAATATGGGATCAGAAAACAAACTTCCCATACACAACAGTAAATAATATCAACTCTAAAATGGCAAATAAATATCAGGGTTAGCCTAAGCAATGTCGCTGCAAAACGGGAAAGATTAAGAGGTTGATTTTTGTCTTTAGTTTAAATTACATTGGAGAACACACCATGAATTTTTTAAAAAAATATATTTTATTGATTTTTTACAGAGAGGAAGAGAGAGGGATAGAGAGCCAGAAACTTCTGTGAGAGAGAATCATCAATCAGCTGCCTCTTGAACGCCCCCTACTGGAGATGTGCCCGCAACCAAGGTACATGCCCTTGACTGGAATCGAACCTGGGACCTTTCCAGACAAGCCACATTCTATCCTCTGAGCCAAATTGGCTTCAGCACACCATGAGTTTGACAGTGTCTTCATCCTTCTATGCGCACCTCCCAGCAAGTGTGAGGGCTCCTAATGCCAGCTTGGGGAGCTGTACTGACTCCCAGGGGGTCCTCTACACCCCTCGGCTGTGCAGGGGGAAAATGTAAATATCTCAGAATAAGTACTTTTTAAAAGAATTTAAACCTGGCCTTCACGGGTTGGCTCAGTGGATAGAGCACCAGCCTTCGGACTAAAGGGTCCCAGGTTCGATTCCAGTCAGGGCACATGCGTGGGTTGTGGGCTCGATCCCCAGTAGGGGGCGTGCAGGAAGCCTCTGATCAATGATCCTCTCTCAACACTGATGTTTCTATCTCTCTCTCCCTTCTCTCTTTCTCTCTGAAATCATTAAAAAAAATTTTTTTAACAAAAATAAAAAATAAGCCGGGACTGGTTTGGCTCAGTGGATAGAGCGTCGGCCTGCGGACTGAAAGGTCCCAGGTTTGATTCCAGTCAAGGGCATGTACGTTGGTTGCGGGCACATCCCCAGTTGGGGGTGTGCAAGAGGCAGCTGGTCGATGTTTCTCTCTCATCGATGTTTCTAACTCTCTGTCCCTCTCAATTCCTCTCTGTGTAAAACCAATAAAATATATTTTAAAAAATAATAATAAAAAAATAAAAAATAAGAGTTTAAGCCTGCATAGCTATTACAGAGGAATAGGAACAAGGAAAAAGAAACAGATATTGGAAGTTACTGGGGATGCCCAGATGGCATAGTTCAATGGCTGAGTGTTGACCTATGAACCAGCAGGGGGTGTGCAGGAGGCAGCTGATCGATGTTTCTAACTCTCTATCTCTCTCCCTTCCTCTCTGTGCAAAATCAATAAAATATATTTAAATATATATATATTGGAAAAAATCAATGGGAAAATGTCCTAAGGTGAGGATTAAAAAAAATAAAAAATCCCCATATCACTTCAGTTGCCTCTATGGCTCTCCCCACACACACCCCCAACCCCCGCCCCGCCGTGGATAAATCTTTAAAAGAAACACTCACTTGCCCTTGCTGGCCAGGTTGTCCAGGCAGGTTTTGATGTAGCTCTTATAGTAATCCACCTGCTCCCCATAGAACGTGGCCTTGGAGTTCAGAGCGGAGTATGTCTGCTGCAGCTTCACCAGCTCGGCCTTCCTCCTCTGCCGGTATCGCCGCTGGTTCCGGATATCCTGGGGGGACGCAAGTATTAAAATGAAAAAACAAAACAGAACAACCGTGTCCGATACCTTGTGCCCCTGGAATCATTAACAGTAGAACCCAGTGGTGCTTAACTGTGCCTTGCGTGACCACCCATTCTTTATATACATATATTTTATTGATTTTTTACAGAGAGGAAGAGAGAAGAATAGAGTTAGAAACATCGATGAGAGAGAAACATCGATCAGCCGCCTCTTGCACACTCCCTACTGGGGATGTGCCCGCAACCAAGGTACATGCCCTTGACCAGAATCGAACCCGGGACCTTTCAGTCCGCAGGCCGACGCTCTATCCACTGAACCAAACTGGTTTCAGCATGACCACCCATTCTTAACAGGCAGCAATTCATGTTCAATAATTAACGAGGAAACTCAGATCGCATCCGTCCCCCCCTCTCCCATTTGTATTTTCTAAAGGTGGGGAAATTCGGTCCTTGTATGGACGTCCACGTTCTTAGAGTGGAAGCTGGCTAAGCCTTCTAAACATGTTGTCAGAAGAAGGAGAAGAAGATAGGAGTTGATGATCAACTCAAGGTCCATTGAGGTTTCACAGAAATCATTAGAAAGATCTGGAAACCTCCAAAGAGGTCAGAGACAGAGAGAGACATGGGACGCTCTAGTTCTGTCCTCTTCCTATGAATTTAGGCTCTGAAATGAGTTATCCAAGGGCGGGCCAGGCCCTCGCGTTAGAAGAATCAGAAACGATTTTTCCGACCCACGGACACTGGCATGCTATGGACTGAAGACACGCTGCTATCTGAATAGCTACTGTCTCTTTAAGAGCCTCTGGGAGAGGGTGAAACTTGGCCCAGCACCCCCCGCCATCCCCGGGCAGTCAGTACCCTGGCGATGTCGTTGATCAGCTCCTGGTACCGGTTCTTGGGGTTCACAGTGCCCAGCTCCGTGAGCTTCTTCAAGCCCGCCTGGATCTTGTCCTTCTTCTCCTGCAGGCTGAGGTTGCTGTCCTCCTTGACGGACTTGGACTTTTTCATTTTGTCTGGGGTTTTGGCGTCGCGGATGGCGCGTCTCTGCATGGCCCTCTGGTGCTCCGCTTCCTGCGGGGAAGGAGTTCCCAGTAAGCTCAGCGCCCCGGTCCCCCCCCACCCCCCCAAATTCATGCAGCTCCCACACCGCACTCTGGAAACGGGGAACACACTTAGCCGGCAGCTGACAGAGAAACTGCACCAAGCAGGGGCAGATTGCTTTACATCTGTTTGTTTGTTTTTAAATTACACATATACATATTTTTATATATTTTATTGATTTTTTAAATATATTTTTTATTTTAATTTTTTTATTGATTTTTTTACATAGAGGAAGAGAGAGGGATAGAGAGTTAGAAACATGGATGAGAGAGATTCATCCATCAGCTGCCTCTTGCACACCCCCCACTGGGGATGTGCCCGCAACCAAGGTACATGCCCTTGATCGGAATCAAACCTGGAACCTTTCAGTCCGCAGCCGATCCACTGAACCAAACTGGTTTTGGCTTAATTGTATTTTTAATCTTTATTCTTTTTTAATTGATTTCAGAGAGGAAGGGAGAGGGAGAGAGAGACAGAAACATCAATGATGAGAATTATTGATCAGCTGCCTCCAGAACTCCCCCTACTGGGCATGTGCTCTTGAGCAGAATCGATCCTGGTCTATCCACTGAGCCACACCGGTTTCGACTGTCCTCAGGTTTTAGCTCTCACTGCTCCCCTCCCCCCAGGCCTCCTTGCTAGAGATGCAGGCCCAGCCACATCACATCCCAGGGCCCTTAGTGCCTCGGTTCCCACGCTCCCCGGCCTGGCCTGCCCGCCCCTCTGGCTTCATGTCCTCTCCCTCCTAAGCGTGGCTCCAGCGCCACCTCTTTCCGATGCCTTGCTCCTCGCCAGCCTCTTTCCTGAACGTCTGGTGCATACACAGCCAGTGCTGCAGGTAATGTTAAAGGCTCCTTCATCACCTTGGCCAGGGTGGCTCAGTGGATAGAGCATCAGCCTGCGGACTGAAGGGTCCCAGGTTTGATTCTGGTCAAGGGTATGTGAGTTGCGGGCACATCCCCAGTGAGGGGTGTGCAGGAGGCAGCTGATTGATGTTTCTCTCTCATTGATGTTTCTAACTCTCTCTCCCTTCCTTTCTGTAAAAAAAATCAATAAAATATATTTTAAAAAATAAAAAATAAAGGCTCCTTCATCACTTCTGATATACACTAAGTGGCCAGATTATGGTCTCTGAATGCATAATAATCTGGCCAGTCAGTGTGTGTGTGTGTGTGTGTGTGTGTGTGTGTGTGAGAGTATATTTTATATTATATACTAGATATATGTATGTATGTGCGTGTGCGTGTGTATTAGATATATATGTGTGTATATATACTGGGTATATATATATATTTTTTATTGGGTATATATTTTATGTGTGTGTATGTGTGTGTATGTGTGTGCGTGTATATTAGATATATATGTGTGTGTATATATATTGGGTATATATTTTATATGTGTGTGTGTGTGTGTGTGTGTGTGTGTGTGTATACACACACATATGTTAATATATATTAAAAGCCTGGTGCATGAATTCATGCATGGGTGGAGTCCGGTCAGCCTGGCCAGGGGGAGGGAACATGGACAGTTGGCTGGCCTACCTGCTGGTTGAAGGGACAATTCTCCGATTAGCCTTTTATTCTATATGATACACACCGAGTGGCCAGATCATTATGCGTTCAGAGATCATCATCATCTGGCCACTCAGTGTCTATCTCACATCTTCCCAGCTAGATCATGAACTTGTGGAGTACAGGAGCCACGTCCTGTACTTATATTCTATCGACCAAGGCACCTAACAAAATGCTAACGATATAATTAATTCTCAATAAATTACCGGGCAGATGCACCGATTCCACCTGGAGTTAAGAGAAAACATGCACGCATACAGCATGGGCGCGCCAGGGAGCTGCCTCTGGCATTGGAAGCCAACCACCTTCTCGGCGAGCCTTACCCAGCACCGCCAGCTGCCCAGCCCCAGGCCACCACCTCCGGCTACCTGTGCCCCGCCCGCCCCGGGGCACCTCTTTGCCTTGTGAAGAGTCCACGTTATTACTGCCATTCGTCCACCATCAAGAACTGAAATAGCATGGCTGACATGTACACAGAAGGAACTGTTTGACATGGAAATCGGGTCTCAAAAGAACTGGTGGCCCAGAAAGAAGCTCACTACAGACTGATTCATATGCCTCTCAGCATAACCATTACTGCTTGTCTCATTTTTTATTCTTATAAGTATATCTCTAGTAGGACATGATCTCACACATCTGGGGGAAACGGTGAACAACACAGACGGATGAACAAGAACAGATACAGAGACAAGGAGCCGTGGGTCAGACTGTCGGAGCTCAGAGGGAGGGTGGGGATAAAAGGGAGAGGTCAGCCAAAGGACGTGTGTGCACACATATGAGCCTAACCAGTGGTCACGGGCAATAGAGGGGTAGGGGCATGAGGGATGGGGTGGGGGATAGGAATGGGGGGATGAGGACTAATAGGTGATACCTTAAGCAATAAAGAAATTAATAATAATAATTTTTTTTAAAAAGAGTCCACGTTAGAGCCCTCCCTTTTACCTGCTCGTTGGTGGCTGGTGTTTCCAGGATCTCGGTCAAGGTCTCCCCTGGCTGGAACCGGATGACGTCCACGATTAAGCGCTTCGTGCTGGGGGAAACGGAGGGAACAGTTAAACATCAGCAGGTGCCCCGCCTCCTCACTGGCCCCACCCAGCAGCGGCGGCATAATCACCACCTCCTGGTACTCAAGACCCCAGACTGAGTCGTGCGACTCCTAACAGAGCGGGTGCCAAGGCTGGGATCTCCAAGATGGAAACGTCACTTGAGCATCTCTCTCTTTTTTTTTTTTTTTTTAAATATATATTTTATTGATTATTTACAGAGAGGAAGGGAGATGGATAGAGAGTTAGAAACATCAATCAGCTGCCTCCTGCACACTCCTTTCTGGGGATGTGCCCACAACCAAGGTACATGCCCTTGACCAGAATCGAACCTGGGACCCTTGAGTCCGCAGGCCGACGCTCTATCCACTAAGCCAAACTGGTTAGGGCCACTGAGCATCTTATTGGCAAACAAAGCAGATCAGTCCTATGCCGGGTGTATTATTAGAAGGGACCACCACCATGACGGGCTCACAAGGTCAAGGTCACCATTTAGGGGTGTGTTCACCGGGGCCGGGGGGGTTCTTCCCACTTGGGGTACTCACTTCAGCAGGATGGTCCTCGCGTCCATCTCCGCGTTCTCGTCCCCGGGCACGTCGAACTTGTTGGTGAGCGTGAGGGACACTTCCGTCTTGGCCAGCGCCTCCTTGTTGGGGTCGTTGAGGCTGCCAGCGCCTTCCCCTAAGGGTTTGGGAGGGTCAGGGAGAACCGGTACAGTGACGACAGGAGATGTGGGGCGGGAGACAGAAACCCACAGAAGAGACATGCCTGAGTAAGGAGGTGCTTGAATAAGCCAGCGTGACCCTGGGGCAGGGCCACCTCTGACTGAGAACTAGGAGGAAACGTGTGCCAGGTGATATAATTAATATAAATCCATAGTAAACTCATCTCACAGATGACTGACAGTCATTTCAACACTGCATTAGCCCTAAACCGCCCCCCTCCCCCCTGCAAGGGGATAGGGCCTAAGCTGGCAGTCAGATATCCCTCTCGCAGTTCGGGGCTCCTCGCTCATTACCACCTGCCTGCATGGGAGGTGGGAGAGGCTCCCGCCACTACCGGGGAGGTTGGGAGAACTCCTGCTTTGAGCATCTGCCCCCTGGTGGTCAGTGTCTGTCACAGCGACCGGTTGTTCGGCCGTTTGATTTGCATATCGGCCTTTTATTATATAGGATGCACTTTTTTTTTTTTTAAAGATATGAAGATTTGTTTTTTTAAATATATTTTTACTGATTTCAGAGAGGAAGGGAGAGGGAGAGAGAGCTATAAACATCATGATGAGAGAGAATCATGGATCGGCTGCCTCCTGCATGCTCCCTACTGGGGATCGAGCCCGCAACCTGGGCATGTGCTCTTGACTGGAATCGATCCCGGGACCTTCCAGGGCTAGGGCTGTGCAGACACAGTTAAAAGGACCCGTTCCATCCGAAACCAGTTTGGCTCAGTGGATAGAGCATTGGCCTGCAGACTGAAAGATCCCAGGTTCAATTCTAGTCAAGGGCATGTACCTTGGTTGCGGGCATATCCCCAGTAGGGGGTGTGCAAGAGGCAGCTGATGGATGTTTCGAACTCTCTATCCCTCTCTCTTCCGCTCTGTAAAAAATCGATAAAATATATTTTTAAAAGTTTATAAAAAATATATTTTAAAAATGTATAAAAAATAAATAAATAGATAAATAAATACAAGGACCCCCTCTGCCGGACACCACCCGCATCTTCTTCCCGAACGTGGATCCGGAGCTGGGACAGTGCAGGTGCCAATCACAGCCCTCCTCCGTCCCGCCAATCACAGCCCTCCTCCGTCCCGCCAATCACAGCCCTCCTCCGTCCCGCTCCCCTCTCACTGCCGCCGGCTGGGCCGGGACCTTACCGATCAGGGACTCGATGGTGGGCACCTCGCCCAGGTCATCCAGCAGCTCGTGGATCGGGTCGTTGTGCTCCGGGGCGATGGCGTCCTGGTGATCCAGCAGGAGCTGCGCCAACACCACGGGGTCAGCTCAACCGACACGCTCAGCCCGTCCACCCCCGGCCCTGCCCGCGCTGCCCACACGCAGGAAAGAAGGGTAGATGGAAAGATCCGACGTTCAGAGGGCTGACACGCCGATCCTCAGCAAAACCCCCCAAACCAGCAATAAATACGTAAGCATCACGTGCAGTGCAGCGAAGGCCTGCGGAGGGGGCAGGAGTAGGGAGGAGAGGGTCAAGGAGGGGAGAGGGGGACAGCTGTAATACCAAGACAACAGAGATAAATTCACCAAAAACAAAACAAACAAAAAAACAGAAAATCATATCCTTGGATGAGGATTAAAAAAAAAAAAAAAAAAAATAGCCGAAACCGGTTTGGCTCAGTGGATAGAGCGTTGCCCTTCGGACTGAGAGGTCTCGGGTTCGATTCCGGTCAAGGACATGGACCTTGGTTGCGGCCACATCCCCAGTGGGGGGTGTGCAAGAGGCAGCTGATCGATGATTCTCTCATCGATGTTTCTAACTCTCTATCCCTCTCTGTAAAAAAATCAATAAAATATATTTTATAAAAAAAAAAATAATTAAAAAAAAAAAAAAAACCGCCAAAGGAAGTGAGCTCTGGAGGGGGTTAAGCAGCAACGGGGAAGGCGGGGAAGGACGGAGCAGTGAGACGAAGCAACAGGAGAAGCAGCCTCACCGTGTGGGTGTTGATGATCTCCCCGATGGAGATGTAGATCACAGGCTTGGTGAGGGTCACGAGGTCGGAGTACTCGTCCACGTTAAACTTATCCTGCAGCTCCGGGACGTCGCAGGCCGTTTGGAAGAACCGTCTGGAAAGAGACACGAGAGCCAGGCCCCGTCAGGTGACGCACGAGTGAGAAGCTGGCAAGAGGACAGCCCACAAATCCCGGGAGCAAAGGGTTCGAGCGGAAGCCGGTCCGGACCACTGGTTCCGGATTGAGTGCTGTGCGTGCGTTCCCCGTGCCTGGCAGCCTTGAACTTCAGCACATCTCTCCCCGCCCCGTTTTAGTTCTGCCCGTGGGAACCGCTCAGCCAAGCACCCGCGTCACCAGGAGAACCGAGTCTAAGCCGATGCCCTGAGCTCACAACTAAACATTTAACTTACAGATATTATTATTATTTTTTAAAAATATATTTTATTGATTTTTCACAGAGAGGAAGGGAGAGAGATAGAGAGCTAGAAACGTCGATGAGAGAGAAACATCGACCAGCTGCCTCCTGCACACTCCCTACTGGGGATGTGCCCCCAACCAAGGTCCATGCCCCTTGACCGGAATCGAACCTGGGACCTTTCAGTCCGCAGACCGACGCTCTACCACTGAGCCAAACCGGTTTCGGCTTAACTTACAGATATTGAGAGTGCTCTCTAGCCCAGCTGGCATGGCTCAGTGGATAGAGCACCGGCCCGAGGGCCGAAGGGTACCGGGTTCACATCTGGTCAAGGGCACATGCCCGGGTTGAGGGCTCGATCCCCAGAGTAGGGAGCGTGCAGGTGGCAGCTGATCAATGATCCTCTCTAGTCATTGATGTTTCTATCTCTCTCTCCCTCTCCCTTCCTCTTTGAAATTTACAAATATATATATATATATTTTTTTTTTAATTAGATAATTGAAAAGGAAAAGAGTGCAGTGATTTAGAAGAAAAAACTATTCTCCAACTCTCCTCTAGTTATAATTTCACAGATACACATTCTTTTTTTCTTTTTAAGACGAAAATTTATTAAAGAACAAGTACAGACTCCCAAGTGGGGAGGGGAAAAGGGTCCCCAGATACACATTCTTAATATATATTTTTTAATTGATTTCAGAGAGGAAGGAAGAGAGAAACATCAATGATGAGGGAGAATCACTGATTGGCTGCCTCCTGTATGCCCCACATTGGGGATCGCACCCACAATCCAGGCATGTGCATTTAACTGGAATTGAACCCGGGACCCTTTACTCCACAGGCTGACGCTCTATAGACCGAGCCAAACCAGCCAGGGAAGGTACAAAACTTTTTAAAAAATATATTTTATTGATATATATATATATATATATATATATATATATTTTTTTTTTTTTTACAGAGAGGAAGGGAGATGGATAGAGAGAAACATTGATGAGAGAGAAACATCCATCAGTTGCCTCCTGCACACACTGGGGATCGAGCCCACAACCCAGGCATGTGCCTTTAACCGGAACTGAACCTGGCACCCTTCACGCCACAGGCTGACGCTCTATCCACTGAGGCACACCAGCCGGGGTCGGGATATATTTTACAGCTCACGCCCTGGAGCTCTGAGCGCACCCAACGCGCGTCCTGCGATGTGGCAGCCCGGGGGGGAGAACGAGGTGTGGTTTCTAGTCTTGTCTCCACCTTCAGAGATAGACTCACACCTACAGTAAGGTGACCAGACGTCCCGCTTTTGGTGGGGCAGTCCCGATTTTGAACAATTTGTCCCGAGGCGCTTAAAAAAAAATCGGGACTTTTTTTAAGCGCCGTGGGACAAATTGTTAAAAAAAAAAAAATCAATAAAATATTTTTTATTTATTTTTTTAAAAAAATATATTTTATTGATTTTATACAGAGAGGAAGGGACAGAGATAGAGAGTTAGAAACATCGATGAGAGAGAGTCATTGATCAGCTGCCTCTTGCACACCCCCCACTGGGGATATACCCGCAACCAAGGTACATGCCCTTGACTGGAATCGAACCCGGGACCTTTCAGTCCCCAAGCCGACGCTCTATCCATTGAGCCAAACCGGTCCTGGCATCAATAAAATATTTTTTTTTAATTATTAAAATATATTTTTTTTTAAACAAATCGGGACCGTTTTAAAACTCCGCGGGATGTGGGACACATTGTTAAAAATCGGGACTGTCCCGCCCAAAGCGGGCCGTCTGGTCACCTTAACCCTACAAAGACTTTTCCAGTCCCCGGTCCCCGGCCCCTCACCTGAACTTCTGGTAGGACTGGGAAAGGTACTCGTTGATGATGCTTAAGTGGGCGTTGTCTCCCAGGAACATCTTGTTGGACGCCGCGTGCTGGAGCATCTTGGCGATGGAGCCCAGGTTGCGGCGCTGGTCGGTGGTGAGCTGGCCTCCCGCCGACAGGTCGATGATGTCAAAGGCGTCCGGAGCGACGATGGCCGGGTTCATGTACCGGTAGTACAGCAAGTTGCCGATAATCTGGGGACAGACGGGCCAAGAAAGACGGACGTTAAAGGCCGATCCACCAGGGAAGCCACGGAGGACTCGGCTAACAAAGGAACCGAGAAAACGCGGTCCTGGGAGGGAGCGGAGATACGCACGACACACATGGACACACGTGCACGCATGCACACACGCCTGCTCTCAGGGTCTGACCCTGACGTGACCCAACATCCCCCGTTTGGGTGCAGAGCAAGAGAAAATGAGACAGAACTGAAAAGCACGCTACAGCAGGAAGGACAGATGCGGGGGGAAACGACAGACATAACGTCTGTGACTGAGCGCTGTCATGTTCTGGCAGCACACGAGGCTGCCACCCACGAGCACTTTTCGCTTTCGTGCGGGTGGGCTTTCGTTCGGAGAGGCTGACGAAGGTATTTAAGATAAATCCTTGGCCGAAGCCGGTGTGGCTCAGTGGACGGAGCGTCGGCCTGCGGACTGAAAGGTCCCGGGTTCGATTCCGGCCAAGGGCATGTGCCTTGGTTGTGGGCACATCCCCAGTGGGGGGTGTGCAGGAGGCAGCTGATGGATGTTTCTATCTCTCTGTTCCTCTTTGTACTACCTCAATAAAATATATCTTAAAAAATAAATAAAAATAAAAGTAAAATAAATCCTTAAAGGACCGAATTGGCGCAGCGCGACCCCCTCATGCTCATGCGGGAGAGACGTCACGGGAAGACGAGTTCATGCCTCAGGAATTAAAGTCACTCAACACACGGACTCTTCCCCAGAAGTCAAGGGCAGTCACAGCATTTCCCCCGAGAGCCATCGTTTAAAAATACAAAATGAATTCACCTGGACAGAAAGTCTAGAAGCGAGGCCTCGCTGTAGGAAAGCACAAGAACTAGGAGAGAGAAGAAAAAAGCGTAGATTAAAAAAAGGAGGAGAGAAAGGCGCATAGGCAAGTCCGAGTTACCAGCCACAGCCTCAGCAGAAACAGTTGTGCTCGGTCCCCTTCACCTGGCCACCAGCAGAGGGAGCTATTGTGCAGCGAAAAGACAGGACGCAGAAATGTGTCTCAAGACAGGAAGAGCCGAAACCCGTGTGGCTCAGTGGATAGAGCATCGGCCTGCACACTGAAGGGTCCCGGGTTCGATTCCGGTCAAGGGCATGTGCCTTGGTTGCGGGCACATCCCCGGTGCGAGGTGTGCAGGAGGCAGCTGATCGATGTTTCTCTTTCATCGAGGTTTCTAGCTCTCTATCCCTCTCTCTTCCTCTCTGTAAAAATAAATAAAAGAGCCGAAACCGGTTTGGCTCAATGGATAGAGCGTCGGTCTGCAGACTGAAGGGTCCTGGATTCGATTCCGGTCAAGGGCATGTACCTTGGTTGGGGGCACATCCCCAGTGGGGGGAGTGTAGGAGGCAGCTGATTGATGTTTCTAACTCTCTCTCTCTCTCCCTTCCTCTCTGTAAAAAATCAATAAAATATTAAAGAAATAAAAATAAATTCAACAAGAACATATTTTAAAAAAAAAAAAATACAGGAAGAATCCACCCAGACTTCATTGATGCGGGCCATTGAAACCCTATAGACATTCCAAGAGGTGTCATTGACTATTTTACAATCGCAGTCTGTGGTGAGCTACTGCCGGGACTCAGGCTCTTGCAAAGTGTCTGTGGGCGGGCCTCGTGGTATCCCTGTTTCCTGGAAGGCGCCAGGCCGAGCCCGCTTCCCGGGTCTTACCTTCAGCAGCTCGTCCTCACCGGCATCGGGGAACTTCTCGTGCAGCGAGTCCTTCAGCACCTTGGCGATGAAGCGCATCCCGTAGCTGCGAGACGGACACAAGGCGTGAGAGGGGCCGGGGAGGGGGGAGGCGCCCGTGCCACCGGGCTGTGTGTGCAGGGTCACGGAGGGAGGCACTCACGGGATTTTGTCCACGGAGCTGATGATGGCGCAGAGGAACTTGTCCGTCACGGCCCGCATGTTCCTGATGGAGCTGTCGAGGCGGGTCTTGACCTCCTCGTGGGCCAGGGCCTGCTCGGGGGTCACGTCGTAGGGGAGTTTGCTGCGAAGGCAGAAATGATCCCCCGATAGGGTTAGGCCAGAAGCCCGCCGGGCAGTGGCCAGGGCAGGGCGACGCATTTCATAAACAGAAAGACCCAGAGAGATCAGGCAACTTGCTCGTGTTCATTGACCCCGTAAATAAGGGGACCGGGCCCAAACCGGTGTGGCTCAGTGGATAGAGCGTCAGCCTGCAGACTGTAAGGTCCCACGTTTGATTCCGGTCAAGGGCATGTACCTTGGTTGCGGGCACATCCCCAGTAGGAGGTGTGCAAGAGGCAGCTGATCGATGCTTTTCTCTCATCAATGTTTCTAACCCTCTATCCCTCTCTCTTCCTCTCTGTAAAAAAATCAATAAAATATATTTTTTTAAAAACGAACAATAACAAAAAAAACCTCAGTAAATACTTGCTAAATAAATGAACACATTACCAGGTCAACAATTTAATAAAGAGGTTTTAAGGAAAAGCTATTTGAACAATTATCAGTTTGTAAATAAAAAGTCAACTGCTAAGAGAGGGAGAGAGAAAGAGAGAGAGAGTGAGAGAGAAAATAAAACGCAGGACAGAAAAGGGTGGTTACATACCTCGCCTCTCCTGTCTGAGACTCCATCTGATTGACCCACGACTTGTAGATATCCACGGGGTCGGTCTTGATGTTGAGGGATTTGTCGTCCATGATCTCCTTCACGACAGGGGCCAGGATCTGCCGCAGGGCGTTCTGGCCCCGGGCGCCACGGTTGAAGCTGACCACCATCTTAATAACGGTCGGGTTTCCCGTCACGATCTCTTGAATCTGGTCCACTTTCGACCTAGGAAGGCATCAGAAGCAAGCGGAGTTGAAACTACACAGAATCTACGGGCGTGAAGATCCTTCCTACTTAGCGATCCCATTTCCTGGACACAAATCATTGGAAGGAAAACGCTTGTCTAAACATGCAACAGCTTTCTGCTGCTGAAAAAACACAAAGGGTCCTTTATTAGACAGAAATGTGGAATCTTGGTGTTTGGGTCAGCTTCTTAAATATAAAAATTATATTTAGCCGAAACCGGTTTGGTTCAGTGGATAGAGCATCGGCCTGCGGACTAAAGGGTCCCAGGTTTTATTCCGGACAAGGACACATGTTCGGGTTGCGGGCTCAATCCCCAATATGGAGTGTGCAGGAGACAGCCGATCAATAATTCTCTCTCAGCATTGATGTTTCTCTCACTCTCTCTCTCCCTCTCCCTTCCTCTCTGAAATCAATTACAAAAAACAATAAATTATATTTTAAGGAACATCGGCCTGTGGATTAAAGGGTCCCGGGTTTGATTCCTGGTCAAGGCACACGGCCAGATTTATGGGCTGGATCCCCAGTGTGGGACTTGCAGGAGGCAGCCAATCCATGATGCTCTCTCATCATTGATGTTTCTCTCCCTCTCTCTCTCCCTTCCTCTCTGAAATCAATAAAAACATTTTAAAAATAATAATAAAACAAAAAACAAAAAGGTTTAAAGGTCAGTCTTTAAAAAAAAAATTGTTAAATTGAATCTAGAAATGTTCCTAAAATGAATTTAGCCAATTGATTACTTTATCGCCTTCCTTAGCATCTGCAACAACACTATACATCAGTGATTGAACAAGGGGATCCTTCTTGCGAGTCGTTCACACAATTCACAGCCTTCGCTGAGAGCGTCAAGCGTACTGTGCAGGCGGCCTGACTGTCCAGCCCTGAGCCTCTGGGGTGTGTTTGTGTGTTTGTGGTGGTGGGGCGGGGAGTAAAGGGGGGATGCCTGAGGCAGAGGAGGGGAGGGAGGCCCTCCATACTTGATCTCCTCCTGGAGCGCCGTCTTGAAGAGCCGCAGCAGCAGGTACTCCTCGCGCTGGTTAGAGGCGTAGTTGTAGAGGGTGAAGATGACGGAGTCCATGAACTTGGTGGACTTGTTCTGGGGCATCTGGAAAATCAGCTTGGCCAGGTAGGTGGGGTTGGTCTGAAACGAAGCCAAGGGACTGACTTAAGCCTCTTGTGGATAAGGTAAGGGCTGGCAAACACACTCAGAGTCCTGCAAACTCGAAGGATGAGGATGTATGTAAGCAAAGAAAGAAAAGCTGAAAACGGTTTGGCTCAGTGGATAGAGCGTTGGCCTGCGGACTGAAAGGTCCCGGGTTCGATTCCGGTCAAGGGCATGTGCCTTGGTTGTGGGCACATCCCCAGAAGGGGGCGTGCAAGAGGCAGTTGATCAATATTCCTCTCTGATCGATGTTTCTAACTCTCTATCCCTCTCTCTTCCTCTCTGTAAAAAAATCAATATATTAAAAAAAAGAAAAGAATGAAAAAAAGGACTTATGTGCATACATATGGGCCTAACCAATGGTCAAGGACAATAGGGGGATGGGGGCATGAGTGGGGGAGTAGGGGATTGGAATGGGGGGTTGAGGACAAATATGTGATACCTTAATCCATAAAGAAATTAAAAAAAAAAAAAAAAAAAAAAAAAAAAAGGAAAGGAAAGAAAAATAAGACAGCTCTGGCTCAGCCCTCAGTGGAAATCAGAACCAGGGCCACAGAGGTCTGTGGGTGAGGCTGTCTTAACGAAAAGAAAACGAGCTACGTTTCTCGGTCCCACGTCCAGGAGCCGCTCACCTGCAATAAATAAAACAGGTGCTGGTAAGCTTCCAGCTTCTCTCTCTTCTCCTTGCTCAGAGCCTTGAGACCTCCCTTCTGTTTGTTCAGCATCATCATGTCGGACAACTGCTCCTTGTTCTTTTTGGTAAGCTTCTTGCTGTGGGAAACCACATCCTGCGAACAAAAACCAACACGTAAGTCAAAAAGCGTTCAGAGACAAAGCTGGGCACTGTGTGGGTCTCTCTCTCGCCACACCGGCAGATTCCTCCAAGTCGGATGGAGTCTCCTGCTCTCAATACATCAATGACATACAGTCCCACTCTCATCTTCCTATAAAGAACCTGATCCAGCCCTGACCGGTGTGGCTCAGTGGATAGAGCGTCGGCCTGCAGACTAAAAGGTCCCAGGTTCGATTCCGGTCAAGGGCATGTACCTTGGTTGCAGGCACATCCCCAGTAGGGGGTGTGCAGGAGGCGGCTGATCGATGTTTCTCTCTCATTGTTGTTTCTAACTCCCTATCCCTCTCCCTTCCTCTCTATAAAAAAAATCAATAAAATATATATATATTTTTAAAAAGAACCTGATCCATAAAAACATCCACTGATTCAGGAAGCCAACTCCTAGGAATCTACCTGCAAGTCAAAGCCTTCCATGCGATAAAAGCTACATTTTCATCAAGATATTCCCTATAATGTTATCTGTAATAATAAAAACTGGCCAAATAGTTGGAGGGGAAATAGAGGTAAATTATAATGTATCTTCTAATTACTTATAATATTGCTATTAAAAATAATATTTGTGACTGCCCGGTCGGCATGGCTCAGTGGTTGAGCGTGGACCTATCAACCAGGAGGTCACGGTTCGATTCCTGGTCACGGCACAGGCCTAGGCTGTGGGCTTGATCCCCAGTGTGGGGCGTGCAGGAGGCAGCCGAGCCAATCCATGATTCTCTCTCATCATTGATGTTGCTCTCTCTCTCTCCCCCTCTCCCTTCCTCTCTGAAATCAATAAAAATAAATTTTAAAAAGTAATATGATAACTTTATCACCTGGAAAACATTTTATCTCCTAATATGAAGTAAAAAGGTCCCATACGAAATGATTGTGCAGTGGTGAAATGACAGGATGGCTTTTACCTTCTCTCTATTTTAAATTTTGCTATTAAATCACAGTATTTCATTTCCTCTGTAACTTTTTTATTTTTAAAATATATATATTTTTTATTGACTTTTTATAGAGAGGAAAGGAGAGGGATAGAGAGTCAGAAACATGGATGAGAGAGAAACAGCGATCAGCTGACTCCTGCACACCCCCCACTGGGGAAGTGCCTGCAACCAGGATACATGCCCTTGACTGGAATCGAACCTGGGACCTCTCAGTCCTCAGGCCGATGCTCTTATCCACTAAGCCAAACCGGTCTTGGCTCATCTGTAACTTTTTTCTTTTACACACTTAAAAAAAAATATATATATATATATTTTATTGACTTTTTATAGAGAGGAAGGGAGATGGATAGAGAGTCAGAAACATCGATGAGAGAGAAACATCTCCTGCACACCTCCCACTGGGGATGGGCCCGCAACCAAAGTACATGCCCTTGACCGGAATTGAACCTGGGACCCTTCAGTCTGCAGGCTGACGCTCTATGCACTGAGCACACCGGCCAGGGCTCCTCTGTAACTTTTTTAAAGCTTATGGCATTCAAGGAGAAAGCCAGTCTCCTCCCTTCCCATGCATCAGCGAGGGTGAGGCCGGGCAGCCCGAGCAGGCCGTGCCCCGCGGCCCCCGCCAGCTCGGGGCGCACCTGCAGCGTGATCTTGTTCTTCACCAACAGGCCGATCTTGATGTCCATGAGGTTGAGGTCGTTCTCCAGCTGTTGGTTGGAGCGGATCAGGGTGATGACCTCTTCCCGCATCTTCATGAGGTCCAGCTCCTCCTGGAAGTCCTGGTCGCTCTGGTCCAGCAGGTGGACGAACTTCCGGACCACGATCATCGGAGGGTCCTCGGCGTTAACTGGCGGAGAGACGGCGCGCGTCAGACGGGTACAGGGTTACCGGGAGAAGTTCCCGGTCCCAGGAAGGTCAGACGGGTACAGGGTTACCGGGAGAAGTTCCCGGTCCCAGGAAGGTCAGACGGGTACAGGGTTACCGGGAGAAGTTCCCGGTCCCAGGAAGGTCAAGGTTATGGGTGAGCTCTAGTCAGGTGTGTGTTTTAATGTAAGGTGACCAGACATCCCGATTTTTAACAGTTTGTCCTGCGTCTCGAGGCTTTTTTAAAAAGTCCCGGTTTTTGGAAAGATCCAAAAATCGGGACTTCTTTAAAACGCCGTGGGACGCGGGACAAATTTTTTGTTTTTTAATGTATTTTATTGATTTTACACAGAGAGGAATTAAGAGAGATAGAGAGTTAGAAACGTCACTGAGAAGGAGTCATCGACCAGCTGCCTCTTGCACACACCCCTACTGGGGATATGCCCGCAACCGAGGTACGTGCCCTTGACCGGAATCGAACCCGGGACCTTTCAGTCCACAGGCCGACGCTCTATCCGCTGAGCCGAACCGGTTTCGGCAGGGACAGATTGTTAAAAATCGGGACTGTCCCACCAGAAGCGGGACATCTGGTCGCCTTAGTGAAATGGTGAGATGAGCAAAGACAGTCGCGAGGCGCAGCGTTCTCGGTCATGCTATCGCTATGGTGACCAAGGCGGACACGTGAAAGACAGGACGTGCAGCCCCAGGTTAGCAAAGGGGGTTAAATCAATACAACCATCGCAAGCGGCCCCCCGGCCCCCGGGCTTGCCTGCAGGAAATAAGAGAGATCCGTGGAGAGTGCCCAGGCCCCGGGGGCCTCCACGCCGCCTCCGCCGGGACACAGTTACTCACTGAGCGTCTTGTAGTCGTCACGAGCTTTGTTGGCCCGAATGAAAGCCTGGATTTTGACGATGTCATTGATCTAAGGAGCAGAGGAGAAACGCTGTTGGTTGTGGGTCCACCACCAAAGAGATCACAAAACTGATCCCTTCATTGGCCTCTCAGCATAACCACGATGGCTTATGTCTCAGTTTAGGTTCTTACGAGGGTATTTCTTGGATCACATGATCTCACACATCTAGAGGAAATGATGAACAACATAGACTGGTGAACAAAAACAGACCCGGAGACAGAGAAGCAGCGATCAGACCATCAAACCTCAGAGGGAAGGCAGGGGAATGTGGGGGTAAGAGGGAGAGATCAACCAAAGGACTTGTGTGCATGCATGTGGGCCTGGCCAGTGGCCGTGGAAACAGGGGGATGGGGGCATATGTAGGGAGGGGTTTGGGATGGGATTGGGGGGATGAGGACAATTATGTGATACCATAATCAATAAAAGAAGAAAAAAAAAAAAAAAACGATCCCACCAGCCCCGCTTCGCCAGGGGACATACGTGATCTCGGAAGTACTGCAGGCGGCCCCGGTAGCGCTTTCTGGCCTGGTGCATCCTCGCCAGGGACTGGATCTGTGGACAGAATGACCCTGGGAATTACAAAAGCCCTTCGCCTGGGCGCAGGCCACGCTGGCACCCTGCACGGAGTGACCCGCCCGGGCCACCGTACCTTCACGACTTCATCCTTGTGGGAGCGCAGGTACGCCAGCCGATCCTGGTAGGCCTTCTTCTGCTTGTACCCTCGCCACTGCGACTGAAACCATCGGACAGGACAGTCAGCCGGCACATTGTTTCCCGGGGAAGAGAGGGAATGCCAACACTTCTCCTCGACCCTCTGTCCCCGGGGCGGTTCCTGGCACGGTCTAGAGAGAGGACCACATCCTCCGGGGACTGGGGAGTGAGGGTCGAGGCTGGGCCGCCACCAGGGGAGCACAGTGGTTAGCGTCCACTTCCCTGGTGTGAGCACCGCACGGCACACCTTTTCAAACTGCCTCCAGCAGAAACCTGTTTGGCTCAGTGGCTAGAGTGTCAGCCTGCAGACTGAGGGGTCCCAGGTTCGATTCCGGTCAAGGGCATGTGCCTTGGTTGCGGGCACATCCCCAGTGGGGGCGGGGGGTGTGTGTGTGCAGGAGGCAGCTGGTCGATGTTTCTAGCTTTCTATTCCTCTCCCTTCCTCTCTGTAAAAAATCAATAAAATATATTTTAAAAAAAAACAAAAAAAAAACTGCCTCCAGCAGAAACCAGTTTGGCTCAGTGGCAAGAGTGTCAGCCTGCAGACTGAAAGGTCCCCGTTCGATTCCGGTCAAGGGCATGTACCCTGGTTTCGGGCACATCCCCAGTGGGGGGTGTGCAGGAGGAAGCTGATGGATGTTTCTAACTCTATTCCTCTCCCTTCCTCTCTGTAAAAAAAAAATCAATAAAATATATTTTAAAAAGAAAGAAAAAAGAAGAAGGATGAGACCAGGAGGTCAGCAGGAAAACACACACACACACACACACACACACACACACACACACACACACGCGGGCGCCCCGTATCCCGGGCTCGGAAATACCTGGATGCAGGTGATGGCGGGAATCTGTTTCTTCAGGAAATTCATCCGGGAGCGGAACTCCTGTCGGACGAGGTACCCGCGGCAGCAAGCCTGCAGCTTGGTGATCAGGCCCTCGTTGGCCAGCCAGAGCTGCTCGCGGTTATAGGCAGTGGTCACCCCGGAGATGGAGCTCTGAAAGGCACGCGGGCACGGGACAGACAGACAGACATACGTAGGTGAGGAGGGACCCATTTTAACGTGGTATCGTCCGCAGCGCACACACCAGCCCTGACTGCTTTCTCAAATTGTTCTAGATCTTTGAGCAACGGGAATGGCTTCAGGTCTATTTTTCAGGGCAGGTTGCTTTCATACCCTCAAAAAGCCACAGGAAAAAAAACACAACTTGATCTTCTTTCACCTCCTATGTACCCACTCATCTGCCCAACACTGACTGCCAGGTGCAGTGCGTGGATCATTGTTGACAAGAAGACAGAGGAGCCCGGCCGGCATGGCTCAGTGATTGAGCGTGGACCTAGGAACCAGGAGGTCAGGGTTCAATTCCCGGTCAGGGCACATGCCCGGGTAGCGGACTGGATCCCAAGTGTGGGGTATGCAGGAGGCAGCCGATCCATGATTCTCTCTCATCGATGTTTCTATCTCTTCCTCTCCCTTCTTCTCTGAAATCAATAAAAATACATTAAAAAAAAAAAAAAAAAAAAAAAAAAAAAAAAAAAAGGGCCTAAACCGGTTTGGCTCAGTGGATAGAGTATCAGCCTATGGACTCAAGGGTCCCGGGTTCAATTCCAGTCAAGGGCATGTGCCTTGGTTGCAGGCACATCCCCAGTAGGGGGTGTGCAAGAGGCAGCTGATCGATGTTTCTCTCTCATCGATGTTTCTAACTCTCCCTCTGCTTTCCTCTCTGTAAAAAGTCAATAAAATATGTATTTAAAAAGTAATAATAAAGAGGACAGAGGAACAGGGGCCGGCAGGGACTGAGTAGCCAGTCCCAAGAGCCCCTGGAGGAAGACACGCAGGGAGATGGCCAGCCTGTCTGTGACGGACAGAGTATGGTCCAACAGCCCAGTCCGGAGTGGGCGGAGGGGGGGGGTCCGAAAAGAGGGAGGAGGCGTGAACTGGGAGAGATGAACAGCAGTTGCATGCAATGAGGAGTGAGAGCAACCTTTTATCTTCTCTTCTGGGCATCCACGTTTTCTCTCACAAGCACCCAATTTGTCTGACTTACGTTCTACAATACTGATGTTTTCCCAAGTTAGGCCTTAAGTCACTCCCCCAGCCACTAGACCAGCGGTTGGCAAACTCCTTCGTCCACAGAGCCAAACATCAACAGGACGACGATTGACATTTGAGAGCCAAATTTTTTTTTTAAGTTAAACTTCTTCTAACGCCACTCGTTCAACCCAGGCCGTGGTATGTTGTGGAAGAGCCACACCCGAGGAGCCAAAGAGCCGCATCTGCCTGGCGAGCCGCGGTTTGCCGCCGGCCGCCGGGGCTAGACAAATAATTACTCTGCACCGGTTCATTACGCAGCCTCGGTTTTAGGCCGAGGCTTCTGACCACAAGCCTGTTCCTCCAAACACGCTTTCGGCTCCATCACGCTCTCTCTCAGCTCCTTCCCCGAGGGAGGGCCGCCTACCTGGATCTCCTCCCGCGAGAGCTGCGTGGGGTTCTGTACGAAGCCTGGGGGCTCGTCCCATCCGCCCTGCTGCGTGTCCAGGTTGTGATAATAATAATATCCGCCTTTCACCCAGTGCTTCACCCACTGGCTGTTGTTTTCGCCTGGCGGACGGGAAAGGGAAGGTGAAAAGGGTCCCAGAGCCGAAGCCGGTGTGGCTCAGTGGATAGAGCATCGGCCGGCGGACTCATTAGTCAACAGAGCGGCAAACTGTGGATGCGGCTCAAGAGCCGCAGTTTGCCGACCACTGCTTGGATGGAGCGTCAGCTTGCAAACTGAAGGGTCCCGGGTTCAATTCCCAGTCATGGCATATACCCGGGTTGTGGGCTTGATCCCAAGTAGGGGGCGTGCAGGAGGCAGCCAATCGGTGATTCTCTCTCATCATTGATGTGTCTATCTCCCTCTCCCTCTCGCTTCCTCTCTGAAATCAATAAAAAAAAAAATAAATAAAATAAAAAAATAAAAAAAAAAAAAAAATATATATATATATATATATATATAAACACCTGCAAAGTCCAACTGTGGAATAAACTTTGATTAGCTTTGTTCTTCCCAAAACCAACATCTAAGACCTTATGTGTCAGAAAACTACTTTCTGGCCGAAACCGGTTGGCTCAGTGGATAGAGCGTCGGCCTGCGGACTGAGGGGTCCCAGGTTTGATTCCGGTCAAGGGCATGTGCCTTGGTTGCGGGCACATCCCCAGTAGGGGGTGTGCAGGAGGCAGCTGATCGATGATTCTCTCTCATTGATGTTTCTAAATCTCTATCCCTCTCTCTTCCTTTCGGTAAAAAAAAAAAAAAATCAATAAAATATATTTTAAAAATAAAATAAGGAAATAAAAAAGATTGGAATATATTTATCATAAAATAAAATAAGTCCAGATACTGTACGTCTTCACGAAAGTTATCTCTCTCTACAGACAGCCCTCCGCTCCACCTCGGGCCCCTCGCACACTCTCGCTCTCGGCTTCGGGCCACACGTGCATTTCACAAGAAACTCACCTGCCGCCAGCTTCTTCCTCCTGGCCTCGGCGAGGTCGCTCTGGTAGGTGTCGCAGCACTCCGGGATGACCCCGTACAGGCTCACGTCCGGGGAGCGGAGGGCGCTCAGCGTCCTGCCCACGTCGCCGCTCTGCACGGCCTCGTTGATGGCAAAGATGCCCACAGCGACTGTCGCGGAAGAGAAGTGTTACCGGGATCGTTTAGGAAGCCCTACATCCGTACCCTGGTTCACCTGGCTGTGCCTGCTGGCAAGCTGTTCCCCCCCATGCTGATGGGCCCAACCTATAAGGTGACCAGATGTCCCGCTTTTAGCGGGACAGTCCCGACTTTCAACAATTTGTCCCGCGACGTTTTTAAAAAGTCCCGATTTTTGGAAAGAATAAAAATATATATGTATATTTTATATATGAATAAATATATATGAATAAAATATATATGTATATTTTATAGATTTTTTTTACAGAGAGGAAAGGAGAGAGAGAGAGGGTTAGAAACATTGATGACAGAGAAACATCCATCAGCTGCCTCCTGCACACCTCCTACTGGGAATGTGCCCGCAACCAAGGCACATGCCCTTGACCGGCATCGAACCTGGGACCCTTCAGTCCGCAGGCTGACGCTCTATCCACACAGGTTTAGGCAAAATCGGGCTTTTTTAAAACGCCGTGGTTACGCGGGACAAATTGTTGAAAATCGGGATTGTCCCGCCCAAAGCGGGACGTCTGGTCACCTTAGTTTAGGAAGCCCTACATCCGTACCCTGGTTCACCTGGCTGTGCTTGCTGGCAAGCCGTGTCCCCCAATGCTGATCTGCCTACCGTGACACAGAGCACCTCGCCACCCCACCCTCCACCGAGAGGAATGAACCGCGACACGTACACCGCTGTGCCTCCTGCGTGTCCTTGTTGGACTGCCAGATGCCGCCTTGAATTTCATCCAACCACAGCACGGCGGACTCGTCCTGGGTTTCCTACACACGGAGAAAAGCAACGTAACATTTAGAGCAGTGAAATCAGCGGAAACCCGTGTGGCTCAGAGGATAGAGCGTCAGCCTGCGGACTGAAAGGTCCCAGGTTCGATTCCGGTCAAGGGCATGGACCTCGGTTGCGGGCACATCCCCAGTGGTGGGGTGTGGAGGAGGCAGCTGATCGATGTCTCTCCCATCACTGTTTCTAACTATCTCTCTCTTCCTCTTTGTATAAAATCCATAAAACACATTAAAAAAAAAAAAAAAAAGAGTCATGAAATCAGGGCCCATAGGATAAAAAGGGACTTCTGAGACTCGATTAGATATGGAGGAAGCTTCAAACACATGAGACACATGGAATAGTTAACTGGAAGAAGCAGGAATTAAAAAAAAAAAAAAAGAGTGAAGCCTGGCCGGTGTAGCTCAGTGGTTGTGCAGGAGGCAGCTGATTGATGATTCTCTCTCATCGATGTTTCTAACTCTCTGTCCCTCTCTCTTTCTCTCAGTAAAAAATCAATAAAATATATATTTTTTAAAAAAGATACCACATGAGAACTACAGGTCAAAGCAAAAGTAAGACGTTTTGGTTGATAAATTTGGAAATCAGATTATTTTAAAACCACTTTCAAGCCAAAACCGGTTTGGCTGTGGTAGAGCATTGGCCTGTGGACTGAGAGGTCCCAGGTTCGATTCTGATTAAGGGCATATACCGGGGTTTTGGGCACATTCCCTATAGGGGCTGTGCAATAGGCAGCTGGTTGATGTTTCTTTCTCATCGATGTTTCTAGCTCTCTATCTCTCTCCCTTCCTCTCTGTAAAAAATCAATAAAATATATTTTTTTAAAAACAAACAAAAAAACCACTTTCAAGATGGCCCAGAGCAAAGTTACAAGCTCAGCTGAGGCCTAAAAAAGGCTGGTCCACTAATTTGTGGGCCTGGCAATGCTAAGAAAATTCCCTCCAGCCCCACCCCCGTCCTCTGAAAAGTTATCCCACACCAAACGGAAATGCTTCCAACTCGAGTCACATCCTCTGACAGCGTAACTCCCACAGCTCTCCCAGAGGGCTCAGAGCGGGAGTGAGAGCAGGTACAAGCTATAGCAGCCTCAATCTGGTTTCCTTTTTTAGACGTGGGACCTGGCCTAGCTTATTTTCCCAAAGTCCACTTCTCTGTCAATCAAACATAATGAGATTCCTTGTGGACTTATATGGCAGCAAAAACAAATATCACCACTGGGGTCTAGACAGATTTACTAGAGCCGGGCCCCCAGTGAGAGACTCTGAGTAAGCAGAAACAACAGCATAAGCCTTAGGAATCTGTCTTTTTTTTTTTAAATATATATTTTATTAATTTTTACAGAGAGGAAGAGAGAGGGATAGAGAGTTAGAACATCAATGAAAGAGAAACATCAATCAGCTGCCTCCTGTATATCCCCTACTGGGAATGTGCCCGCAACCAAAGTACATGCCCTTGACCAGAATCAAACCTGGGACCGTTGAGTCCGCAGGCCGACGCTCTATCCACTGAGCCAAACCGGCCAGGGCAGGAATTTGCACTTTTAAAATATCTTTTCAAGCGTTCTGATGACCAGCCAAGTTTGGGAAGAACTGCCCAGCTGGAATGGCTCAGTGGTTGAGCGTCGTCCTAGGATTCGAATCCCAGGGTTGGGGACTCGATCCCCATTAGGGGGCGTGCAGGAGGCAGCAGATGGATGATTCTCTCTCATCATTGATATTTCTATCTCTCTCCCACCCACTTCCTCTCTTGATATCAATATACTTTTTAAAAACTTTTTGGGAAGAACTAATCCAATTGATCCAAAATTGATTATCAGAGACAAAGACCTCCGTTGATAACTTTCCCACAGCCAACTGCTTCTGACCTGAGTAACATCAGTTGATCCCTTTGTCTCAAGTTCCTGGCTACAAACAAGAGTTATGATTCAACCCTCACCCCAGGATCGACGGACACTCAGCACATTAATGTGCCTCTCTTTGTGTGTTTTTTCAATATATTTTATTGATTTTCTACAGAGAGGAAAGGAGAGGGATAGAGAGTCAGAAACATCAATGAGAGAGAAACATTGATCAGCTGCCTCCTGCACACCTCCTATTGGGATGTGCCCGAAACCAAGGTCCATGCCCTTGACCGGAATCGAACCTGTGACCTTTCGGTCCGCAGGCTGATGCTCTATCCACTGAGCAACACCGGTTTCAGCCCAGTTACAGAGCTCTTACTGTGAGGTGCCCAGGAGCAGTCCCTGGGGAGATGAGGGGGGCGGGCTGGATCAGGGGAGGCATCATCCCTGCATCTCGGTGCCTGGAGAGAGGAAGCTCTCGGAACAGAAGTTACTCTTCCGGTGCCACTCACCTGGGCTTTCTCCCTCTTTGCTCGGATCAGCGTGTCTTGGTAATGCTGGGCCACCCCCGCCAGGACGCCCTCCAGCTTAGCTGCAGGGATCTGCAGGGCCTGCAGGGTCTTCTGGGCATCCCCCTCGTCCAGGGCCTCGTTAATGAGGCCGATGGCTAAGATCCCTGAAGAGGAAGAAACAGAGGTCGTTCCTTTAAGCCAGTGTTTCCCAAAGTGTGGAACGCGGACCCCCAGGGGCGCGGGAAGAGTCTGGTGGGGAAACGCGTTGCACCGGAGTTCGGTGGGGATATGCACTGCACCGTGCTTAGCTGCGCCTCATTCTACGTTCTATGAGTACGAGGGGTACTCAGCGTTACGAAAATTATAGAAGGGGTACACATATGTCAAAAGTTTGGGAAACACGGCTTTATGACATTCTATAAACAGATCAGTCTGTAAGCAAGCCAAGTGTGCATAAATGCACCAAGCACTGCCATGACTCAAATCATAGTTTGTCATCCATAATATTGAGCCCTGTGCCCTCAACACTATCAAGACGAGCCAACTCCAGGAAACCGGTGTCAGAGCTCACCTGGGCTTGTTATAATACCGTGTTTCCCCGAAAATAAGACATCCCCCGAAAATATGACCTAGCGCATGGAAAGATAAGACATCCCCTGAAAATAAGACCTAGCGCAACTTTGGAAGAAAAAATTAATATAAGACACTGTCTTATTTTCGGGAAAACAGGGTAGCACTTAAAAATAAAAAAATCAGCCCTAGCCAGTTTAGCTCAGTGGATAGAGCATCTGCCTGCAGACTGAAGGGTCCCAGGTTCGATTCCGGTCAGCAGCATGTGCCTTGGTTGCAGGCATATCCCCAGTGGGGGGCGTGCAGGAGGCAGCTGATCAATGTTTCTCTCTCATAAATGTTTCTGACTCTCTATCCCTCTACTTTCCTCTCTGTAAAAAATCAATACAATATATTTTTTTAAATAAAAAATCATATACAATTTATCTCCTGGAAAATACATATTAATTTATTTCAGAGAGGAAGGGAATGGGAAAGGGAGATAGAAACATCAATGATTGAGAGAGAATCACTGACCGGCTGCCTCCTGCACGCCCCGTCCTGGGGATTAAACCCACAACCTGGGCCTGTACCCTTGACCAGAATCATACCCAGGACCCTTCTTCAGTCCACAGGCCGACGCTCTACCCACTGAGCCACACCAGCCAGGACCATCTCCTGAAATTTTTAGCTATGACCTACATAGCTAATGATAGCAGTTGCCTGATGTTTTGAAAATAATACCCAACCTTAGCTTTTGAGTTACATCGATTTCAATTTTCAACCCCCCTCCCGCTCCCCCGCTAGGAGTCAAGGTTAGAGCCGGCTCACGGCATCACGCCCCCTGGGCACCGCGTCACCTGGGGGGATGGGATGGGCTACTCACTCTCGTGCTCCTCCTGCACCACCAGGTTCACGTGGTCCACGCAGGCCTGGATGTCGTTCCACGTGATGAACTCGTTCTTCTCCGCGTGGGCCTGGTCCTTCAGCTTCACCAGCTCGTCCAGGTACCTGCCCCACCCCCCAAGGACAAGGACAGTGAAGTGCAACAGAATGAAAGGGACCTTCCTTCGGGATCACTGTGGGTGACAGCAATCAGAAAACGTGGGGGGGGGGGACAGCAAGGGCGAGGAAGGGAACAGTGGGCAAAGTCTCTGAGAACACTGACAGTTAAGGTACCCCAACAGTTTTGGTATATTGATATATTCTAGAGGCCAGCTCCGCGACTGAATGACCTTACAGAAAATTTAAGGATATCACCTATTCTTATACATACATATATATATATACACATATATTTTTTTAATTGATTTTTTACAGAGAGGAAGAGAGAGGGACAGAGAGTTATCGAATGGCTGCCTCCTGCACACCCCCCAGTGGGGATGTGCCTGCAACCAAGGTCCATGCCCTTGACCGGAATCGAACCTGGGACCTTTCAGTCCGCAGGCCGACGCTCTATCCACTGAGCCATACCAGTTTCGGCAGATTTCACCTATTCTTGACAGCCACTCAATTCCAAGGAAGACCACCTCTAGAATGAGAGAGAGGCAGCAGCTCCGAGATAAGGAAGTAAGGACACGCAGAAGGAATGATGCACCAAGTCCTCATTCAGCCGAAACCGGTTTGGCTCAGTGGATAGAGCGTCGGCCTGCGGACTGAAGGGTCCCGGGTTCAATTCCGATCAAAGACATGGACCTTGGTTGTAGGCACATCCCCCGCAGGAGGCAGCTGATCGATGATTCTCTCTCATCGATGTTTCTAACTCTCTCTCTCCCTTCCTCCCTGTAAAAAAATCAATTAAAAAATAAATAAATAGCCGGAACTGGTTTGGCTCAGTGGATAGAGCGTTGGCTTGGGGACTGAAGGGTCCCGGGTTCGGTTCTGGTTAAGGGCATGTACCTTGGTTGCGGGCATATCCCCAGTAGGGGGTGTGCAAGAGGCAGCTGACTCTCTCTCATCGATGTTTCTAATTCTCTATCCCTCTCCCTTCCTCTCTGTATAAAATCAATAAAATAAAATAAAATAATAATAAATAAATAAATAAAGTCCTCATTCAGCAGCTCTTACTGAAGTGCTTATGTAGGCAAGGATTATCAAGGGTCAAAGGTACTAAGCCAAAGGTTACTGGGGAACTGCGCATGTGCATGGCGCAAAAGGTGCAGAGAGATTCTGATCTGGTGAGAGAGACTCAGATCTCCATTGGAGGGATGAGCTGTCCTCTAAAGACCAATCTTTGTACTGTGAATGGCAGGACAGATTTCACAGGAGTCTTGATGAGAAAATGAGATACACACACATCACCAAAGATGTTCAACTAAATCTCGACATGCCTTTAGCTAAGGTGACCAGACGTCCCGATTTCCAACAATTTGTCCCGCGTCCCGCAGCATTTTAAAAAAGTCCTGATTTTGTTTCCAACGGGACGCGGGACAAATTGTTAAAAATCGGGACTGTCCCGCCAAAAGCGGGACGTCTGGTCACCTTACTTTAGACGTCATACCCAGTTTACAGGAATAAGACAAGTATTCCGAAGCGACCAGAACCAGAAGATGGGGCATTTTGTAGACCAACTGGCCCCCTCTCTCTGATCAATCAGTGTCGTGAAGACAGGGACAATTCTGGGCTAAAACACACGGAAGGGACACAGCAGACAGAAGTAACACAAGGTCCGGGACCAGACCCGGGTTTGAACAAACCAGCCGAAGAGTCGTGGAACCAGTGAGGAAGTACGAAGGTGTGGACTCGATTCAGAGGATGTTCCGGGACATTATGGCTTTCGCCAGGGTGTACGATAAAGTATAAAATGAATGGAAATAGGGGGGAGGGGGAAGAAAAAAAAAAAAAAAAGACGGTCCCAGCGACCATGGAGAAAGCCAGAGCTGCCGGCTGAGCCGCAGCGGAGGTCCCGGAGGCCGGAGGGTCCCCTCGGCGCCCACCTCTGACAGTTCTCCTCTTCGATGTTGGTCAGGCCCGTCACCGAGCTGCTCAGCTGCTTCCACACCGTGCTCATGTCCCCGGACTCCAGCGCCCTGTTGATGAGCGCCACGGACGACAGCATCTCCACGGCCACGGAGAGCTCGGGGTGGGTGAGGCTGTGCTGCAGGGAGAGCGGGAGGGGGGCAGGGTGAGGGACGGAGTGAAGGAGTACCAAGGCATCCACGTTTCTGGTTAAAAAACTCGGGTGTCCCGCCCTAACCAGTGTGGCTCAGTGGATAACAGCATCAGTCTGCAGACTGAAGGGTCCCGGGTTCGATTCCGGTCAAGGGCATGTACCGTGGTTTTGGGCACATCCCCGGTAGGGGCTGTGCAATAGGCAGTTGATCAATGATTCTCTCTCATCGATGTTTCTAACTCTCTATTTCTCTCCTTTCCTCTCTGTAAAAAATCAATAAAATATATTAAAAAAAAAAAAAAAGGCAAATAAAAACTTGGTGTCCCTAATTGCACCATAACGTGGGTATTCACCTCCCTCCCTCTGCTTTCTGTTTTGTTTTGTGCATGTAGTTTTAAAAAATATATATTTTATTGATTTTTTACAGAGAGGAAGGGAGAGGGATAGAGAGTTAGAAACATCGATGAGAGAGAAACATCGACCAGCTGCCTCCTGCACACCCGCACACCGGAGGATGTGTCCGCAGCCAAGGTACGTGTCTTTGACCGGAATCGAACCTGAGACCCTTCAGTCCACAGGTGGATGCTCTATCCACTGACCCAAACCGGTTCGGGCATTTTGTATGTTTTTTTTGTGCTTTTTTTTTTTTTTATTGTTTTCAGAGACAAAGGGAGAGGGAGAGAGAGCCAGAAACATCATTGATGAGAATCACTGACCGGCTGTCACTAGCACGCCCCACAATGGGGATCAAGCCTGCAACCTGGGCATGAGCCCTGACCGGGAATCAAACCGTGACCTCCTGGCTCATAGGCTGATGCTCAACCAACTGAGCCACGCTGGCCGGGCCCCTCCCATTGCGTTTTGCTCACTTACTTCAGGACTCTGCTGCTGCAGCGTGGCCAGCTCCTTCTGGTAAAGATCGGCAGCAAAGGGGTACACCTGGGGGAGCTGGGCTTCGGGGTTCATCAGCTCCAGAACGGTCTTCTCGGCCACGCCCTTCTGGATGGCAGCATTGATGGCTGCCACGGCGGCGAGCCCTGGCAGAGAAAGGGGTCAGAAACACGGTCAGCGGAGGGAGCCCGGGGGTAGGGGTGGGGGTGGGGAATGCCAACTGTCACGGAAAGAAGTTCCGCTCTGCACACCACCCCAAGTGGAACCCCCGTCTTAGACAGCGGTCTCCCCGGCAGGGGGCAAACGACAGGGATGCGAACTGCATCACAACGAAGCCACGAAGCCACTTCCCTCCCCGCCTCGGGAGCCCGGCGGGGGGCTTACTCCGCTGGTACTGCTGGGCGGCGCTGTTGGCGGCGTCCACCGCGGCCTGGAGCTCCTCCTTCTGCAGGGCATCCGTCTGGCCGGCCTGAGCACGACAGCGAAGGACGCTCATGTCAGCGTGACCCCGCCTCTGCCTCCGGCCGCGTCCCCCTCCCGCCGCCGCCGCCGCCGCGGTCACAGGGACGGAGAGCCACGGGCCCAGTGGCAGGCCTGGCCACGCCGGGGGGTGTAGAGCGACTTGTTGGAGACCAGTCCATTTAAAGAATTATTGTGCGAGAAGCATCAACATGTCCTGAGATAAATGCTTACGGAATCACTAGCAGGTGGATGCCACTTACTCTGGCCAACGCACGCTGGGAGTTTGTAAGATCTATTCTTTTTAAATACATTTTTATTGACTTCAGAGAGGAAGGGAGAGGGAGAGAGATAGAAACATCAATAATGAGAGAGAATCATTGATCGGCTGCCTCCTGCACGCCCCCTTGGCCAGAATAGAACCCATGACCTTCCAGTCCGCAGGCCCACGCTCTGTCCACTGAGCCAAACCAGCTAGGGTTGCCTGAGGACATTTAAAAAATCTAATTTAACCCAAGCAGGTGTGGCTCAGTAGATAGAGTGTGGGCCTGAGGACCAAAGGTTCCTGGGTTGGATGCCTTGATTGCAGGCTCCTGCCTGAACCGGGCCCTGGTCAGGAGGCAACCCATTAATGTGTCTTTCTCACATGGATGTTTCTCTCCTTCTTTCCCTCTCTTCCACTCTCTCTAAAAAAAAAAATCAATGGAAAAATATCCTTGGTGAGGATTAAAAACAAAACAAAACAAAACAAAAACAGAAAATAAATAAAAATAAAAACTTAATTTATATGCAGGAGAAAAAGTTATACTAGAAAAAGATGGCCGAAACCGGTTTGGCTCAGTATATTCAGAGCGTCGGCCTGTGGACTAAAGGGTCCCAGGTTTGATTCCGGTCAAGGGCATGTACCTTGGTTGCGGGCACATCCCCAGTAGGGGGCGTGCAAGAGGCAGCTGGTCCATCTTTCTCTCTCATCGATGTTTCTAGCTCCCTATCCCTCCCCCTTCCTCTCTGTAAAAAAATCAATAAAATATATATATATATATATATATATATATATATATATATATATATATATATATTTTTTTTTTTTTTTTTTTTTTTTTTTTTTTTTTAAAGAAAAGAAAAAGATGGCTCGGAAGTGTCTTTAACACGACAGCAGGGTTCAGGCGGAGGTGCGGGCTGCACCGGGTCCTCTCACCTGTCTCTTCTGCTGCCTGTCACTCAGCAGCTGCTTCAGGTACCACTCGCTGTTCTGCTGCTGCAGCCCGCGGAGGCCCAGCGCCGGCGACTGCAGAATCCGGAACAGGGCCAGGGCGCCTCCCTGGTCCAGAGCCAGGTCCACGTTGGCCAACGCGGAGAACGCTGCGGGGGAAGAAGGCAGAAAATGCTGTGTTCACATCAATAGCCCGGGATACTTCTTTTGTTTGTTTTAATATATATTTTATTGATTTTTACAGAGAGGAAGGGAGAGGGATAGAGAGCTAGAAACATTGATGAGAGAGAATCATTGACCAGCTGCCTCCTGCACACCCCCTACTGGGGATGTGCTCGCAACCAAGGTACATGCCCTTGACCGGAATCGAACCTGGGACCCTTCAGTCTGCAGGCTGACCCTCTATCCATTGAGCCAAACCGGTTTTGGCTGGAGAATGAATCTTAAAGAACCTTGAAGCCATCAAGCTCCAGGGCTCCTGCCAGGTTGCTCATCAGAAGTAAGGGATTCGTGGAGCGCCCATGCCCTGGGCCTGCCAAAACGCTCCCAGATGCAGACCGCCTGGCACCACCGTGGGAGCGAAGCCAGAGGCACCAATCGGCACAAACACAGGCCCAGGTTCCCTCGGAAATGCCAAGGGGTTGTCTAGAGCAACTACCAAACTGGAGGAAGTCTCCCACAGAAATGGACCACATCTTTGTTTAAAAATAATAATCTGAAGTGATATGAAAAAATAGCAAATAAAGTTTCAAAACATGTAACAGAGAACTGAAATGCATAACTATGTCACAATAAATATTTACATACTATATAGGAGGCCCCTAGAACCATAAGACATGCAAAAAAATCACGCTTAATAACTCATTGTCTAATTGCCCCCTCAAACATCAAACTGCCTCCCTAAGGGGCGGGTGCCCCATGTTGGGGACCCCTGGTCCAGAAGCCACAGCCATGAGAGGGGGAGGGGTGAGGACCCGCCTGAGGACAGAGGCAGCTAACAGAAGACACAGATACAAAACGCAGTCATGCCGAAACTGGTGTGGCTCAGTGGATAGAGCGTCGGCCTGGGGACTGAAAGGTCCCAGGTTCGATTCCGGTCAAGGGCATGTAACTTGGTTGCGGGCACATCCCTGATAGGGGGTGTGCAGGAGGCAGCTGGTCAATGTTTCTCTCTCATCGATGTTTCTAGCTCTCTATCCCTCTCCCTTCCCCTCTCTAAAAAATCAATAAAATGTATTTAAAAACAAACAAACAAAAAAACCCAGTCCGAAGCAGCAGTTCCTGACCAAGCCCACTAGTGCCCACAGTAAATAAACTAAGTCATCCGTCCAGAGCAGGTCAACACTCACATTCCTCCGCTGTCCCCTCAGGTGCCTGGCCCAGGATCACACTTACTGTTGACTTTGTTCACGTTGCCTTGAATTTCAGCTTGAGTGAGCAGCTCCTCGTAAACGTCCCTCTCTCTCTCCGAGTTTTCCGTCTGGAAAAAAAAAAACGAGATAAAGGTGTAATTAGATTAGCTCAGCTCTCTGAGGAGAAGAGGGAGAGATACTGAACTCCTCCCTCACCGGAACAGAAGCGAGAGCAAGGAAAGGAGGTGCCTTAAAATCCGTAGGTAAAGCCCTAGCCAGTGTGGCTCAGTGGATAGAGCGTCAGCCTGCAAACCGAAGGGTCCTCGGTTCAAATCTGACCAAGAGCACGTACCTCAGTTGCAGGCTCCTCCCCGGCCCAGGCCCTGGTTGGGGCACATGCAGAAGGCAACCAATCAATGTGTTTCTCTCACATCCATGTTTCACTCTGTCTCTCCCTCTCCCTTCCACTCTCCCTAAAAATCAATGGGACCCTGGCCGGTTTGGTAGGTGACTGGGGTCAGGGGTGAGGCGTGGGGGACAGGCTTCTACTGTGCGGGCCTGGGACGTTTGGGGTGATGGTTCCCCACATAAATGTGTCAACACTCATCACACCGTATGCTTGAAATGGTGAATTTCACTATCCTGTACATTATGCCTCAATAAAACCGATTTTTAAAACCAAACGAGAAAAGAACACAAGTCAGTTAGAAAGAAGAGAGGTTCCATTATATTAATAAACTGATGAACCAAAAGATAGATATAGAGACAGTAAAGCAACAAGCAGACTGACAATTTACAGCGGGGAGGGGAGGGAGATCCGGGGGAGATAAGAGATCAACCGAAGGACCATGTATACATGCATATAAGTACAACCAATGGACATAAAACTCTGGGGAGGGAGGGTATGTATGGGAGGGAGGGAGGGGGGTAAAAAAAAAAATCAATAAAATATATTTAAAAAAAAAAAAAAAAAAAAAGAAAGAAAGAAAGAAGAGAGGTTCCATCTTTACCCTGTTTCTGGCGTTTGTCATCTTGTCGTGCTTGGCCTGGTAGAGAACGTCCTGGTAGGTGGGAGCCAAGGACTCGTCCAGGTTGACCAGCATGGCGTTGGGGTTTTTCAACGCCGTGAAGGTGTCGGCCGGAACCCTGCGGTCCACCGCTTCGTTAATGGCGATCACCGCGGCGTGCACTAAAAAGAAATGAAAGACACGCAATGCCGAGTGACGTAGAGTATAGGCCACACGTGACACGTACAAAACCACCCTGCAACACGGCATTACAGAGGGGGCTTGTTTTCAGAGAGAAATAACACCTGGGGCCGAAACCGGGTGTGGCTCAGCGGTAGAGCGCCGGTCTGCGGACTGAAAGGTCCCGGGTTCGATTCCGGTCAAGGGCATGTACGTTGGTTGTGAGCACATCCCCGGTAGGGGGTGTGCAAGAGGCAGCTGGTCGATGTTTCTCTCTCATCGACGTTTCTACTTCGCTATCTCTCTCCCTTCCTCTCTGTAAGAAAAATCAATAAAAATATATTTTTTTTAAAAAAAAATCTGGGGCCGAAACCGGTTTGGCTCAATGGATAGAGCGTCGGCTTGGGGACTGAAAGGTCCCGGGTTCGATTCCGGTCAAAGGCATGTACCTTAGTTGCGGGCATATCCCAGTAGGGGGTGTGCAAGAGGCAGCTGATCAATGACTCTCTCTCATCGATGTTTCCAATTCTATCTCTCTTCCTTCCTCTCTGTAAGAAAAATCAATAAAAATATATTAAAAAAAAAAAAATCTGGGGTTGGAGGAATGGCTCCTTGAGTCCTATAAGCCAGCCCCTCCCTCAGGATGCACAAAGCCAGCGTTCTGAGCCACGTTTGGGCGCTGAATTGGGAAACGCACAGGGAAATACCCACAAGGGAGCCTTGCTAGGAGCATGTGTTAGTGCAGTGGTCGGCAAACTCATTCGTCCACAGAGCCAAATATCAACAGTATAAGGACTGAAATTTCTCTGGAGAGCCACATTTTGTAAACTTAAACTTCTTCTCACCCACCACGTCTTCAAAATAGACTCGCCCAGGCCGTGGTATTTTGTGGAAGAGCCACCCTCAAGGGGCCAAAGAGGCGCATGTGCCTCGAGAGCCGCAGTTTGCCGACCATGGTGTTAGGGAAATGCTCAGCCTTCATCATCATGTAAATCCTATTTAAAAAAAATAAAATAAGCACCTCAAAGAGGCACTGAAATGGGGACCTCACTGTCTAAGTGTTTGTATTATAATCAAAATCAATCACTTATTTCCAAACAATAGCATAAAAGACTACGGAAGTGTTGAAAACTAGATCTACTCGCCCTCGCCGGTGTGGCTCAGTGGACAGAGTGTTGGCCTGCGGACTCAGGTTTGATTCTAGTCAAGGGCACATGCCCGGGTTGCAGGCTCGGTCCCCAGTAAGGGACATGCAGGAGGCAGCTGATCAATGGTTCTCTCTCATCATTGATGTTTCTATCTCCCTCTCCTCTCCCTTCCTCTCCGAAATCAATAAATACATATTTTTAAAAATAACAGAAAAACTACAACCATCTAGATCTACTGACCTAAGCTTGCTAGCAAAATTCCTAATGCCGTGATCGGCAAACTCATTAGCCAACAGAGCCAAATAGCAACAATCCGACGACTGAAATTTCTTTGGAGAGCCACATTTTTAAAACGTAAACTTCTTCTAACGCCACTTCTTCAAAACAGACTCGCCCAGACCGTGGTATTTTGTGGAAGAGCCGCACTCAAGGGGCCAAAGAGCCCCATGTGGCTCTCGAGCCACGGTTTGCCGACCCCTGTCCTAATAATGCCCAAGATCATCATTAGAGCATCCCTCGCCGGAAGTGGTGGCAGCCATCCCATTGGAACCCCGTTCCTCTCTTACGTGCAGCTTCGTCCACGGAGAGCTCGTTGGCCAGGATGCCGCCGATCTTGCTGAAGGCGGGCATCTGGATGCCGTACTTCTCCAGCTCGATCTTCATGTTGTTGATTTCTTCTTCTGCAGGAGAGACGTGAGAGCAAAACTCAGAGAATGAAAGAGATTCTTCAACGACAAAAACTGGGTAAGATGGACTCTACCCCTCAGGGTTGTTAAAAGGATTAAAGCCCAAACCGGTGTGGCTCAGTGGGTAGAGCATCCGCCTGCGGACTGAAGGGTCCCGGGTTTGATTCCGGTCAGGGGCATGTACCTTGGTTGCGGGCACATCCCCCAGTAGGAGGTGTGCAAGAGGCAGCTGATAGATGATTCTCTCTCATTAATGTTTCTAACTATCTCCCTCTCTCTCTCTCTTCTTCTCTGTAAAAAAATCAATAAAATATATTTTAAAAAATAAAAAAGGATTAGAGACAGCACGCAGAAGGCATTTAACACACTCCCTGGTACATAGAACATGCACTCAGTAGGAGTAAATTATTATTACTATTACCAAGAGCATTAAAAATTAACTACGGCCGAAACCGGTTTGGCTCAGTGGATAGATCGTCAGCCTGCGGACTGAAAGGTCCCAGGTTCGATTCCGGTCAAGGGCTTGTACCTTGGTTGCAGCCACATCCCCAGTAGGGGGTGTGCAAGAGGCAGCTGATGGATGATTCTCTCTCATCGATGTTTCTAACTCTCTATCTCTCTCCCTTCCTCTCTGTAAAAAAAATCAATTAAATATATTTTTAAAAAATATATATATATATTAACTATGGCATGAGAATGGCCCTGCCGAAACAGCTTTTCCAAACCGCTACTGATGGCATTTCCCATGAGCCTATGAGTAGAGCGGCAACAAAGGAAGCGCCGCGAGAAGTGAATTAGTTCCCGGCCGGGCGGTATCTCCATTTTCACAATCAAAATCACTAGTGACTTAAACAATTCCCTGAGATAAAGAAAACATAGAAGGTCAGGCCCCTGCCCCAGGTCTGGTGAATGACTTCCCTGGGAGGAAAAACAGCACAGATAGAAGTTTTGGAGCCATTTTTTTTTTTTTTTTTTTTAATATTCCCAGGCCTATAAAAGAATCCCCAGTTTGGAAGATTTAAATCTAGCCCTAACCGGTTTGGCTCAGTGGATAGAGCGTCGGCCTGCGGACTCAACGGTCTCCGGTTTGATTCCGGTCAAGGGCACATTCCCGGTGGGGGGTGTACAGGAGGCAGCTGATCGATGATTCTCTCTCATCGATGTTTCTAACTCTCTATCCGTCTCTCTTCCTCTCTGTAAAATATCAATAAAATATATATTTAAAAAAATCTTAAAATCTGCATATATATATATATATATATATATATGCAGGCTAATATCATCCCCAACTTAGATATAAGAAAGCCGAGGCTTGCTAGTCATACCCAGGTCATAACTGAGAGACAAGAGCCTGAAACCCCAATGTTAGTGTTCCTTTCACCACCCCGAGGAGAGCGCCATTTATACCGCTTCCATCTCTCTGCTGCCAGAGTATTTTTGAGGCCCTCCGTCGGGAACATTGGTTTTGTTGTCTCTCCAGGCTGTTCCCACATAAACCGAATATTTCCGCTGGGTGAGCAGCTCCTTACCCGTGAAGTCCACCTTTCCGTACAGGTCCTGAATCTGAGGGGCCAGGCCGAGTTTGAACAGGTACAAACTAGAAAACACAAATATGCAAAGAGTTACACCTCCAGCCTTACCTGCCCCTGCTGCTCCGAAAGGAGAAAATCAGCATAAAGAACGGAAGCATTCAGCCCTGGCCGGTGTGGCTCAGTGGATAGAGCGTCGGCCTGCAGACTGAGGGGTTCCTGATTTGAATCCGATCAAAGGCACATGCCTGGGTTGTGGGCTCGATCCTCAGTAGAGGTCATGCAGGAGGCAGCTGATCAATGATTCTCTCTCATCGTTGACGCTTCTATCTATCTTTCCCTCTCCCTTCCTCTCTGAATAAAATATATATGAAAGAACAGAGACATTCTGAACAGAGACTCCCAGGACACAATATTAACCATCGCAGTTACCGTATCTGTTATCTCAGAGCCTTTTTTTTAGTTTTACATAATAACATTGTCCTAAAAATTCACATAATGCAACGCAAAGGGCAACCGGCAGGCAGGGCAATCTGGGGCCCCAAGCTGGCACCCGCCTTGGCTGGTGGCCTGGCACCGCCCACTCCCTGCCACCACCAGCGGTCGCCTCCCTCTCAGGGGGGAAGACGCTCAATGCAGGGGCCGCCCCCTGCCCCCTGCATTGAGTGTTTGCATTGAGCGGTGCTGCAAGGGAGGGCAGTTGAGAGGTACCCGGTTGCCCCACAGATGGCCCTGATCATGGCCAGGCCTAGGCACCCTACCCTATATATTGTGAACAGTCCCTTAGATTTAAAAATTAAAACCCAGCAGAAACCGGTTTGGCTCAGTGGATAGAGCATCGGCCTGCAGACTCAAGTGTCCCGGGTTCGATTCCGGAAAAGGGCATGTACCTTGGTTGCGAGGACATCCCCAGTGGGGATTGTGCAGGAGGCAGCTGATCGATGTTTCTCTCCCATCGATGTTTCTAACTCTCTAATCCCTTTCCCTTCCTCTGTAAAAAAAAAATCAATAAAATATATTAAAAAACAAAAACAAAAACAGACTTAGAGGCCAAGGAGGGCTCTAAGTTGCTGTTAACCCAAAAGGGAGCAGTGCCTTGTCCCATGGTGTGAAGTGAGCCGCCTGCCTTGATTTGATTTGATTTTTTAAATATATTTTTATTATTTTTTACATGCCCATGACCGGAATCAAAGCTGGGACCTTTCAGACCGCAGGCCGACGCTCTATCCACTGAGCCACACCAGTTTCGGCAAAAGGCTGTGTTTTATGGGAAAGAGGCTCCAAGCAGGTACACACACACTTCCGACACATTATCAAGTGTTGCAACCTGCCCTCCAGGAAAAGCACTCTTCAGGGAGGGAAGAAATCAGAGGCTGCCAAGCAGAACCCGGCTCTGTTTACACTTTCTCAGCACGGCCTGCCTACTGGAGAGAAATGGCAAACAATAGCCGACTTCCGCCCTTTCTCATTCGGACTCCGTCATTAGAAAGGCACAGTTAATTAACTCTTTGTCTCCATTTCCGAGACTCTGAGGACCTGGGGCCCGGGTCACACGGCGGGGACCAGTGGCTACAGAGCTGGGAGCGAGGATTTGGCCAGCTCGGCCTCTGTGCCTGCCCAAGTTCAAGTCCCCTTCGGAGGCACAGCCTCCTTCTGCATGTTATCGACAGGGAACATGAATTTAATCTGAAGAATGCTTCTGTTTGTTCTTAATATATATTTTATTAATTTTTACAGAGAAGAAAGGAGAGGATAGAGAGCTAGAAACATCGATGAGAGAGAATCATCGATCAGCTGCCTCCTGCACACCCCCTACCGGGGATGTGCCCGCAACCAAGGTATATGTCCTTGACCGGAATCAAACCCGGGACCCTTCAGTCTGCAAGCCGATGCTCTATCCACTGAGCCAAACCGGTTTGGGCTGCATCTGGTTTTGACTCCGATGCGTACACTTCCAATTGCTACAACATGAAAATTCCCCTAGATATCACCCATTCCGAAACATTTCAAAGAATTCTCATGTTACCATTGTTTGTTCAATATTATGTCGTGTGCCCTGGAGGGGGTAGGGGGGATGACCTCTGTCCCTAAGATGCTAATAATGTAACAGGGAGAAAAGATTAAAATTATGGAAGAGCCGAAACCGGTGTGGCTCAGTGATAAGAGCGTCGGCCTGCGGACTGAAGGGTCCAGGTTCAATTCCGGTCAAGGGTATGTATCTTGGTTGCGGGCACGTCCCCAGTGGGGGGTGTGCAGGAGGCAGCTGATCGAAGTTTCTAACTCTCTTTCTCCCTTCCTCTCTGTAAAAAATCAATAAAATATAATTTTTTAAATTATGGAAGAAATAACATATAACTAAAACAAACAAACAAACAAAAAAACCATAGCCCTGACCGGTGTGGCTCAGTGGATAGAGCGTCGGCCCGCAGACTTAAGGGTCCCGGGTTCGATTCCGGTCAAGGGCATGTACCTTGGTTGTGGGCACATCCCCAGTGAGGGTTGTGCAGGAGGCAGCTGATCGATGTTTCTCTCTCATCGATGTTTCTAACTCTCTATCCCTCTCTCATCCTCCCTGTAAGAAATCAATAAAATATATATATATATATATAAACACTACGAAACTAATAAAAGCAAGAAACAAACTACAGGAGTTTAGCCAAAGGCATGAACTGGAGAAATCCTAAAATTTCACCCAACAGTGGGAACGGAGCAAAGACTTGACTGGCTCAGCCAAGCCAAACATCAAGCCATCTGATAAAGGGAAAAGTACCACTTCTCCTGCACGTTTATTTATAGGGCAGACAGTCCCCCTGAGCTGAAGGCAGGGGCAGGGACATTTGTTATCATGTAGTGTTTGGACAATATGCAAGGCATCTAAGCGCTACAGACAAAGAGATAAGAAAAGAATAAAGGAAATAGTTCTTGGCCGCAAGGAGTCCACAAAAAAAAACAAGTGACGCAGGAGAACAAATAACCAGCGGACAATGTAACAGGCACTATACTTGAAGGGAGAGGTTCCTACAAAGTAACGGGCGAGAGGAGCACAAAGCAGGGAAGTAGCTAATTCTGCCTGAAAGATAACAAGTTAAAAAAAATGTATCAAAACATGTATCTGAGGTGTTAGCGGGGGAGAGAGGGCAGTCTGGCAAAGGAACCAGCATAAAAAGTGTGGTAGGAAGAAGACTCGCACACAGCTGCAGAGGAGGGAATGGCTGCGGGGAAGACTGGAAGGGAGCCATCCGATATTTTGTGGAGGGTCCGATATAAGCAGGGCTGGTCTGGAAAGACTAGAGGCCCGGTGCATGAAATTTGTGTGTGGGGGGTGGTGGGGGTCCCTCAGACCAGCCCAGCCTGCACCCGCTCCAATCCGGGACCCCTGGACACCCCTCTCACAATCTGGGACTGCTGGCTCCTAACCGCTCACCTGCCCGCCTGCCTGATCAACCCTAACCACTCTGTCTACCTGCTTCATCACCTCTAACCAGTCGCCTGCCTGCCTGATTTCCCTGACCCCCCCCACCCCCAACCGCTCACCTGCCTGCCTGATCGCCCCTAACTATTCTGCCTCAGTCCCCACTGCCGCAGCTTCATCTGGAAGGACATCCGGAATGATATCCAGAAGGTCGTTTGGCTGTCCAGTTTAATTAGCATATTATGCTTTTATTATTATAGATTATAGGAACAAATAATCCTTTCTCCCTGCCCCCAGAAAAACACAGCTGTTTCTCACCATGTTGTTAAAATAATAGTATCCTATTCTACTTAAAAATTCTGAAGCTAATGCACAACCCTTTTCATTACACCAAAGACAAAAAAAACTACATAGTCAATTCAGATGTGATTCCTAAACAGCTTTTTAAAATTGAAATATGACTGCTGGGACCGGTTTGGCTCAATGGATAGAGCGTCGGCTTGGGGACTGAAGGGTTCGGGTTCGATTCTGGTCAAGGGCATGGGCCTTGGTTGCGGGCATATCCCCAGTAGGGGTTGTGCAAGAGGCAGCTGATCGATGACTCTCTCTCATTGATGTTTCTAACTCTCTATCTCTCTCCCTTCCTCTCTGTATAAAATCAATAAAATATATTTTAAAAATAAATAAATAAGTAAAATTGAGATATGACTGACATACAACATTATTAGTGTCAGGTGTACAACATAACGATTTCATAGGTAAAATATTGAAATGATAGTTAACATCTGTCACCAAAAATAATTATAAAAATTTTTTCCTTGCGATGAGAACTTTTAAGATGTACTTTCTTAGCAACTTTCAAATATACAACACGGTATTATTAACTACTAGAGACCCGGTGCACGAAATCTGTGCACTCGGGGAGGTCCCTCAGCCCAGCCTGTGCCCTCTCACAGTCCGGGACCCCTCGCTCCTTACTGCTACGATGGAGGTGGGAGAGGCTCCCGCCACCTCTGCTGCGCATGCCGGCCGTGAGCCTGGCTTCGGGCTGAGTGGTGCTCCCCCTGTGGGAGCACACTGACCACTAGGGGGCAGCTCCTGCACTGAGCGTCTGCCCCCTGGTGGTCAGCACACATCATAGCGACTGGTCGTTCTGGTTGTTGCGCCTTCACAGTCGCTTAGGCTTTCATTATATAGAATAAATAGCCACTGCACTGTACGTTACACCGGCAGGCCTCCATTACTCCATAACTGGGAGTGTGTACCTTTTGACCACCTTCACTCATTTCACCCATCCCTCAACCCCCACCTCTGGGAACCACTGATCTGTCCTCTGTGCAGTGCTCATTTTACCAAGAAAACCCGGTTATTACCTGAGGGCGTGGATACAGTAGATACATCGCGGCATGTTCTTCCGGTCGTAGATATCTGTGGTTTCTGGGTAAAAAATCTGAGGAGAAATAGAAGCAGTAGAGTAAGTATCCATCCGCTGGGTTTCTTTGGATCACTCACCGATCATCAATAACACAAACAGAACATCGGACAATCAGCAAACGTGGTCGGCATTCAGCAGATAACTTCGTTAGGGTGAAAAGACACTTAACAATAGTAATGCAAGGAATAAAATGCTATAATACAGAATGAAAAACACTATTTGAAAAAGCCTTATGCGGTCAACCTACTGAAAGTCCCTGGGTATGTGAAAGTGACTTGTGCACTACAGACTCAGTCATGGGCAAAGCAATTGAGAACTGCTGGCTCCTAACCGCTCACCTGCCTGCCAGCCTGCCTGATCGCCCCTAACCACTCTGCCTGCCTGCTTCATCGCTTCTAACCAGTCGCCTGCCTGCCTGATTGCCCTAATCCCCCCTAATCGCTCGCCTGCCTGCCTGTGTGATCAGGCAGGGCACATGCCCGGGTTGCAGGCTTGATCTGAGTTTAAAACACTGGCTTTGATCTGAGACAGCATGGGGGGCACCATGGGGGGACCCGGAGAGCATCACGCTAAGTGAAACAAGTCCGTCAGAGAAAGACAGGTATCACATGATCGCACTCATATGTGGAATCTAAGTAACAAAATAAACTGACGAACGGAGTGGATCCAGAAACATGGAAGCACGGAACAGAGTGCAGGATCTCGGAGGGAAGGTGGCAGAGGGTGATGGTTGGGGGGTAAACCAAGGACCTTGTGTGCATACATGCATGGCCTGTGGGCCCAGACAATGGGGAGGTGAGGGCCTGGGGTGGGGGGCGGGGTAGGTTGGAGGAGGCAGATGGGGAGGAAAAGGTGGCATACGTAATACTTTCAACAATAAAGAATTCTTTAAAATAAAGAAATAAAACACTGGCTTTGAATGATTGTAATCTTCCTGGTTACTATCTGCCAGGCCTAGACTGGGTAGGAATTCTACAGAACGTTTACTAAGTGCTTCCATCTGTGCAAACCACTACATTTAGACAATGAAAAAAAAAAAAATGAAAAATGCCGAAACCGGTTTGGCTCAGTGGATAGAGCGTCAGCCTGCGGACTGAAGGGTCCCGGGTTCAATTCCGGTCAAGGGCATGTACCTTGGTTGCAGGCATATCCCCAGTGGGAGGTGTGCAGGAGGCGGCTGATCGATGTTTCTCTCTTAAGGATGTTTCTAACTCTCTATCCCTCTCCTTTCCTCTCTGTGAAGAATCAATAAAAAAATTTTAAAAAATTACACTGTGCCATAGTGCTTGGGAGAAGTAGGAAGATACTGAGATGAAGTAGCTAGAATAGAGGTTGTCCATGTGTGGGACTGTGGGTGATGGGTTGCTTTCTTTGGCAGCACTTAGCACGATCGATCAATCAATCAATCAATCAATCAATCACTTGTGCTATCATCTCCTTGATTCCTTCACCAGCCCACAAGCCACCTGAAGGCAGGGACCTGGTCTGGGCTGATCACTGCTGTGTCTTCTATGCCAAACCCAGCGCCCGGGTCATGGAAGGAGTGTGTGTGTGTGTGTGTGTGTGTGTGTGCGTGTGCGTGTGTGTGTGTATATATATATATGTATATATATATATATATATATATATATATATATATATATATATTGATTTCAGAGAAGGGAGAAGGAGAGAGAGATAGAAACATCATGATGAAAGAGAATCATGGATCGGCTGCCTCCTGCACACCCCTCCCCACTGGGGATCGAGCCTGCAACCCGAACATATGCCCTTGACGGGAATCGAACCCGGGACCCTTCAGTCCGCAGGCCGACGCTGTATCCACTGAGCCAAGGCGGCTAGGGCAGGGGTTCTATCCTTGATGCATTTGTGAATGAGGTGGAATAGGAACAGAGTAGCTTTAGAGTGTGAATAGCCTGGAAGTTCAAAACCTATTCTCATGTCAACGAGGCACCACACGAGACTCAACCTGTAATTTAGGGGAGGGAAGGAATAACAGTGGATTGGAGAAGTGAAAGACTGAATTATAAGGTGATTAGGAGAATTCTGACAAGGCAGTGGGAGATGCTACAGTACTAGGTGTCTATTACAGCACTTTGTAATAGATACAAAGTGTAATAGATACAAATACATTGTGTTCAATTCTTTGGGTTTTCTTGTTATTGTTTTTTAAATATATTTTTGTTCATTTGAGAGAGGAAGGGAGAGGAAGAGAGAGATAAAAATATCAAGGATGGGAGAGATTCATTGATCAGCTGCCTCCTGCATGTTCCCCACCGGGGATGGAGCCCGCAACCCAGGCATGTGCCCTTGACCAGAATCGAACCCGGGACCCTCCAGTCCGCAGGCCGATTGCTCTATCCACTGAGCCAAATCGGCTAGGGCCAATTCTTTGTTTCGATGCTCGTCCCACAATCGTCATGCCTCTCCAGTGGAAAGAACTGCCCCTGCCCCCACCCGAAGAAATGGAATGTATCAGAATCATCCTTTAAAAAAAAAAAAAAAAAAAAAAAAAAAATATATATATATATATATATATATATATATATAATTGATTTTTTACAGAGAGGAAAGGAGAGGGAGAGAGAGTCAGAAACATCAATGAGAGAGAAACATCCATCAGCTGCCTCTTGCACATCCCCCACCAGGGATGTGCCTGCATCCAAGGTACATGCCCTTGACCGGAATCGAACCCGGGACCTTTCAGTCCGCAGGCCGACGCTCTATCCACTGAGCCACACCGGTTAGGGCCAGAATCATCCTTTTTGATAATTTTCCCAGCTCCACATGCTCTCTCCCCAAGACTGAGATATGCCCTCCTCTGAACGGTGAAAACCCCAGCCACAGTGAGCCAACCTCCGTGAGAACGGCAGAGAATCCATTTCAGAAACAGGAAAGGAAGGCTGGGCAGGTAGGACGGGATCAGATTAGGAGGCCCTGGAGAGGCGGGCAAGTCTGAACCTGATACGCAGGCCACAGAGAAGCCCTCACTCTGGAGCCAAGGAGGAAACACAGAGCCTCAGAGCCCCGGGAAGATCTGACCGGAGACAAGATACAGGATGCAGAGACCGGTGGGGAGATGGAAGCGGAGGAGGCCACTGGCAGGCCGTGTCAGCAGATAAAAGAGGTGCTTCAAATAAAGGAGGGCCCAAACCCGGGTGGCTCAGTGGATGGAGCGTCGGCCTTGCAGACTGAGGGGTCCCATGTTCGATTCCGGTCAAGGGCATGTACCTTGGTTGTGGTCACATCCCCTGTGGCGAGTGTGCAGGAGGCAGCTGGTTGATGTTTCTCTTTCATCGATGTTTCTAACTCTCGGTCCCTCTCCCTTCCTCTCTGTGAAAAATCAATAAAATATATATTTTTTAAAAAGTCAATCATATATGTACGGATAATAATTTAATAATAAATAAATAAATAAATAAATAAATAAATAAATAAATAAATAAATAAATAAAATAAAAAGTCAATCATGAAAAAAGCAGTTTAGCCCAGCCAGCACGGCTCAGTGGGTAAAATGTCAGCCTGCCGACCAAAGGGTCTTGGGTTCAATTCCAGTCAAGGGCACATATCTACCGTGCAGGCTCCTCCCAGGCCTGGGCCCTGGTCCGGGCTCATGCAGGAGTCAACCAATAGATGTGTTTCTCTCAAATCAGTGTTTTTCTCTGTCTTTACCTCTCACTTCCACTCTCCCTAAAAATCAATGGAGGAGCCGAAACCGGTGTGGCTCAGTGGATGAAGTGTCAGCCTGCGGACTCAAGGGTCCCAGGTTCGATTCCATCAAGGGCATGTGCCTTGGTGGCGGGTACATCCCCAGTAGGGGGCGTGCAGGAGACAGCTAATCGATAATTCTCTCTCATCGATGATTCTAACTCTCTATCCCTCTCCTTTGCTCTCTGTAAAAAAATCAATAAAATATATTTTAAATAAAAAAATAAAAAACAAATCAATGGAGGAATATCCTTGGGAGAAGATTAACCAAAAAGACAACAACAAAAAAGCATTTTATAATAGCAATACGACTACTAGCAACGGCAAATAGTAACGAGGCTCTCAGTACCACTCCAAAGAGGTTAAGTCATCTTTGCCCAATAGGCACAGCTCACAAAAACAGGAACAGGAAGTGACAGGTGCACAGCAAGGCCAAGGAGCTGTCAGAACTTGACGTACAGCGTTTCCTGACATTGTGGGGCCTAATTCTCTCACACACAAGTGCAGGGGAGACAGCCTCAGCCCTCTGCTCTGGAAAAAAGAGGTCCAAAACGTGTCTGCTGCAAAGACTCGGCTCTGGATTGAACTCAGTTCAACAGGCAGGCAACAGTGAGGTCAGCGCTGTGCTATATACATTTACAATCGGCTCTAGGCACTTCCTATTACTCCACATCTCCCTTTTTCTTCCCCCTCCCCTTTTTGTTGTTGTTTACAAAAATTTAGCCTTTAGAACAGTATGAAGAAAAAGAAAAAGCAGCCCAGCCGGTGTGGCTCAGTGGTTGAGCATCGACCTACGAGCCAGGAGGTCACAGTTCAGCACATGCCTGGGTTGCAGGCTCATGCCCCCGAGTAGGGGACACGCAGGAGGCAGCCAATCAATGATTGTCTCTCATCAATAAAAAATATATATATTTTTTAAAAACCAACCCCTGCCGAAACCGGTTTGACTCAGTGGTAGAGCATCGGCCTGCGGACTGAAAGATCCCAGGTTCGATTCCAGTCAAGGGCATGTGCCTTGGTTGCGGGCACATTCCTGGTGTGGGGTGTGCAGGAGGCAGCTGGTCGATGTCTCTCTCTCATCGATGTTTCTAGCTCTCTATCTTTCTCCTCTCCCTTCCTCTCTGTAAAAAAATCAATAAAATATATTAAAAATAAGTTAAAAAATAAAATAAAAAAAGCCCTAATCCCATCACACAGAAATGAAAACTGTATTTCCTAACAGATTTTCCCCCAAGAACATCCACTTTGTTTTTACACAAAAATAGTGATCTCATCTTAGCCAGGACACAGACTCTTTTAACCTTAGTCTGTTACGTTATTTTTCCACTTAGTACATCCCAGGCAGCTTCCTTTGTCAATACAGAGGGACGTCATCCTTTTTTATGGCTGCCCTGGGATCCGACTGTCTGCATCACAATAATCCCCTAGTGAAGAACCAGGTGGTTTGCTATCAATTTCTTCTACCATAAGCAAGACTGAAAAATCCTTACACGTACATCTTTTTGGCTTGTCTGATGGTGGAGGGACAACTTGCTTGAACTCTTAGGTCAAAGGTGGGGGAGTGGAAAAAGATGCCCATGCCTGTAAGAAAGACCAGTTTGGCTCAGTGGATAGAGCGTCAGCCTGCGGACTGAAAGGTCCTGGGTTCGATTCTGGTCAAGGGCATGTACATTGGTGGCGGGCACATCCCCAGTAGGGGGTGTGCAGGAGGCAGCTGATCGATGTTTCTCTCTCATCGATGTTTCTAATTCTCTATCCCTCTCCCTTCCTCTCTATACAAAATCAATTTTAATAAATAAATAAATAAAAATGATCATACAGAGTAGCCTTTACGGTTCCAGTTGGACTGGGTAGCTAGAGATGGCAATTTCACTAAGAGCAGCATTCAAGAACTCCTGAGCAAAACAGTCAAGGATGGCCCGGCCAGCGTGGCACAGTAGTAGAGTGTCAACTTATAAACCAAAAGGTCATGGTTCGATTCCCGGTCAGGGTTCATGCCTGGGTTTCCCGCTCAATCCCTATACAGGGGTTCTTTCAGGAGGCAGCCAATCAATGATTCTCTCTCATCATTGATGTTTCTCTCTTTCTCTCTCTCTCTTCCTCTCTGAATCAATAAAAATTTATTTTTTTAAAAAGTCAGGGATTCTCACTCCCATTATCGGCACTCTAACCATCATTCCAAACGCATCAAACTGCATACATCATATATATATATATACGGTTGTTTGTACATCAATTATATGTCAATACACATGCTTAAAAAAAAAAATTACAGCCATCACCAATTTGAAATATAAAATGACCCTTCAGCCCTGGCTGGTTTGGCTCAGCAGATAGAATATAGGCCTGGGGACTAAAGGGTCCTGGGTTTGGTTCAGGTTGCAGGTTCGATCCCCAGTGGGGCGTGTGCAGGAGGCACACCTGATCATCATTGATGTTTCAATCTCTTTTTCCCTCTTCCTTCCTCTCTGAAATCAATAAAAACATCTTTTTTTTAAATGATCCTTCAAACACCCTAAATTTGGTTATTCTGAGGCTGGAAGATAACATTTCTAAAATATTTCCTAAGGTCAAATTTGAATGAAACGACCTTGTTAATAATAACAATAATAATAAACCACTGAAGTATATACTATAAAACTCACGTGGTGTCTGGCATGAGAATTTTAATGTAAGTCTACCATCCGATGTAGTAAAAGTAAATGATACCGTGGGGAATTTCTCTAAGGTGGGGATGAAGCAGAGAATGAGGAATAGAAAACGAAAAGAACAAAACTGTTTTCTAAAAGAAACAGGAGAAAGAGATCTTAAGTACTTCTTTAAAAAAAAAAAAAAAATCACCCAAGATTCCATTGAAAATAAAGAATACTTTCATAAGTAGAGCGAGAACCCTTATGCCAGGACAGAGTGAGGCCAGAACTATGACTTATCATGTGAGGTACCTTTGGCAAGCCAATCTCGTCCATGGCGTTCAACCACTGGATCACGTTGTCCGTGTGCCGGAAGTGGAGGCCGGTCGCCTGGAACAAATAAAAGACCATCAGGCGGGGGAGAAGGGGTCCCCATATGAGGTGACAGGAGAGGATCTGGCTTTGGGGGTGGGCACACGGTGCAGTATACAGGGCTGGCAACATAGAAACCCACACCGGAAACCTGTGTGTTCATGTTGACCAGTGTCACATTAATAATTTTTTTTAATTAAAAAAAAAAAGACAGCCGAGATCAGTTTGGCTCAGTGGATAGAGCGTCGGCTTGGGGACTGAAGGGTCCCGGGTTCGATTCCGGTCAAGGGCATGTACCTTGGTTGTGGGCATATCCCCAGTAGGGGGTGTGCAAGAGGCAGCTGATCGATGACTCTCTCTCATCGATGTTTCTAACTCTCTATCTCTCTTCCTTCCTCTCTGTACAAAATAAATAAAATATATTAAAAAATTAAATTAAATTAAAAAATTAAAATAAAATAAAAAGACACTGTTGGCAATAGTGAAACGATGCTAAATAAAATCTCTCTTGCAAGTTTCCTTGGGAGACTTTACAAGGTCCCCTTAAACTCAAGGTCTATCTATATAGCATTATGCTCACATTCCAATCCCAAAAAGCCAGATCCACGTCTCTGCTCCTCTCATTTAAAAACTATCCGGAGCCGAGACCGGTGTGGCTCAGTGGATAGAGCATTGGCCTGCGGACTCAAGGGTCCCAGGTTCAATTCTGTTCCAGAACATGTACCTTGGTTGAAGGCACATGCCAAATGGGGAGTGTGTAGGAGGCAGCTGATCGATGTTTCTCTCCCATTGATGTTTCTAACTCTCTATCCCTCTCCTTTCCTCTCTGTAAAATGTCAATAAAATATATATTTAAAAAAATAAAAAAATTATAAATAAAAATAAAAGCTATCCGGAGAAGTCCGGTCGGCGTGGCTCATTGGTTTAGCCTCGACAAACTAGGTCATAGTTTGATTCCCGGTCAGGGCACATGCCTGGGTGGCAGACTCGATCCCCAGTGGGGAGTGTGCAGGAGGCAGCTGATCGATGTTTCTAACTCTCTATCCCTCTCCCTTCCTTTCTGTAAAAAAAAATCAATAAGATACATTTTTTTAAAAAGAAAGAAATACAAACAGCTGAAGTTCCTCTACTACTATATCTTGACTTTGCACTATTTCCCCCACTTTTGTGGGAACAAACACACGTCAACGTATTTCTCAGTAACTCACACACAGGAAAAGAACATGCCAACCGCTCTCTCTCCAGTTCACGGTCATGCTAGCACCACGCCGGGGAGGACTCACCTTGTATCTGGTTTGCTCCCGGTCGTAGATCTTCTTCAGGGACACCACTTTGGGAGAGAAGAAGTTGCCCAGTTTGGCGAGGTAGACCCCGTTCCGAAGGCCCTCCTCCAGCTCGGTGGTGGGAGGCAGGTCCTCCCCAAGGCACGCTTCCATCCACCTGCAGGAAGGAGAGAGGGCTTGAGACAAGGCAGGGAGGACGGGAGCGTTCCTCAGAAGATTCAAGTTCAATTTCCATTCTCCTTGGGAGAGGATTACAATGAACATAAGGAAACTTTACGATCCAATTCCAGCCCGGCCGGTGTGGCTCAGTGGTTGAGCATCCACCTATGAACCAGGAGGTCACGGTTCAATTCCCGGTCAGGGCACATGCCTGGGTGGCGGGCTGGATCCCCAGTGGAGGGAGAGGGGGAGATGTGTGTGCAGGAGGCATCCGATCAATGATTCTCTCTCATCATTGATGTTTATCTCTCTCTCCCTATCCCTGACTATCTGAAATCAATTAAAAAAAAAAAAATTTTAATAGATCTAGTTTCACACACTGTGTCCTGGCCCAGGCAGATCTGAGGCAGAGAACTTGGAAAACTTCTCAAGCGTGAATGCCACCTTCTTCTCTACCCTACTTTCCTTCGTGGCCGCGGAGCCAGCTGGCCGCCAGGCCTGACTGTCCCATGGACCTGGGCTCCGTTCCCTCAGTCCTTAGGTTTCTCCTTAAGGACTCCGACGAAAAAGCATTGGTAACTGAAGCCTCTGACTCAACTGTTTTATTGCTGAAGTTCCTGATTTTATTGTATTTTATTTAAATACATTTTATTGATTTGCCGAAACCGGTTTGGCTCAGTGGTAGAGCGTCGGTCTGCGGACTGAAAGGTCCTGGGTTCGATTCCGGTCAAGGGCATGTACGTTGGCTGCAGGCACATCCCCAGTAGGGGATGTGCCCGCAACCAACACACATGCCCCCAACCGGAATCGAACCCGGGACCCTCCAGTCCGCAGACCAACGCTCCACCACTGAGCCAAACCAGTTTGGGCCAAATCTGTTACACTTTTAAAGCAGCCAGCATAGTATCTGCCCCACAGTCGACTCTTAAATAAAGACTGCCTGGCTATATGAAAGGGCCAGAGAATTTTCCGGTTGTTTCCTCGATTCAATAATAATTTTCTCTTCTGACTTTTCTTTCAGGTAGAATTTATTTAATTTATTAAACGTATTTTATTGATTTTTCTACAGAGAGGAAGGGAGAGGGATAGAGAGCTAGAAACATCGATGAGAGAGAAACATCGAATCAACTGCCTCCTGCATACCCCGCACTGGGGACGTGCCCACAACCAAGGTACGTGCCCCTGACTGGAATCGAACCCGGGACCCTTGAGTCCGCCGGCCAAAGCTCTATCCACTGAGCTATACCGGTTAGGGCTCTTTCAGGTAGAATTTAAATGTCAGGGATGAGGGGCGGAGGGAGGAGGGGGACACCAGGAAACAAATGCGTTTTCCAAAAGAGATGTGCGAGTAACTAAATTTGATAGCGATTTGTAACAGTTACAAACTCTAAACTCCAATTCTGGAAGAGCCTAAAGACCTGAGGACAGCCCTGGCTGGTGTGGCTAAGTGGATAGAGCATCAGCCTGCCGACTGAAGGGTCCCAGATTCGATTCCAGTCAAGGGCATGCACCTGGGTTGCGGACACATCCCCGGTGGGGGGTGTGCAAGAGGCAGCTGATCGATGTTTCTCTCTCATCGGTGTTTCTAACTCTCTCCCTTCCTCTCTGTAAAAGATCAATAAAATATATATTAAAAAAAAAAGAGGGCAACGGGGAAAACAGTGTAGGCTGTTGCTAGGGAAAACAGGCGTAGTCCCAGGACACACGTCATGCAGCCATCCCTCTAACGTTTTACTGCTGCACGGACACAGGACACAGCTCCAGGCAACGCAGCCCTCAGGGGGCATCAACCCTGTGCTCTCATTAGGAGGCACATCCCAGAACAGCTCCAGCGTGAGCCAGCAGCAGCTCTGTGCCATGGAACAGTGTGAAGGAAAAATGACTTTTCTTCTCAGTATAAGGTGAGCACACAGGGAAGACGATGAATCAATAGCACAGGGAGTGTTTCTACCCCGAACCAGGAGCCAGTTACCAAAGCTGAGTGGGCTTTCCTCTCCTCTGGGGTTACTAGATTAATATCAGCCCTGGCCGGTGTGGCTCAATGGCTAGAGCGTCGGCTTGCGTACGGAAAGGTCCCAGGTTCCATTCCGGTCAAGGGCATGTACCTTGGTTGCGGGCACATCCCCAGTGGGGGGTGTGCAAGAAGCAGCTGATCGATGTTTCTCTCTCATCGATGTTTCTAACTCTATCCCTCTCCCTCTCTGTAAAAAAAAAAAAAATTAATAAAATATATATTTAAAAAAAAAAAACTTGTATTTCTCACAAGAGTTGAAGAAAACAGAGGGAAGAGTTCTTAGTCCTTCCTCTCAAAACAAGGGACAGAAACTTTCAATCTTTCAACCTCCTCATTGGCTCATTTTCAATAGAAGTAACATTAAAAACACAACCTCTAACCCCACATGGCGGATATTAAGCTAAATACTTTGTATGAATTAATTATCTCACTTACACTTTCAAAAAGCCTAAGGTAAGTAGTAATATTGTTCTTATCTTCCTGATACAGAAACCATCCACTCCTAACAGTAAAATAATTTCTCCAAAAGTACTGAGCTTGTCCCATTTGACGCAGTAATCCCACTCCCAGGAATATATCCCAAGAAACTAGAAACACCCATCAGAAAGGATATATGCACCCCTATGTTCATAGCAGCACAATCTACCATCGCTAGAATCTGGAAACAGCCTAGGTGCCCGTCAGCAGATGACTGGATCAGAAAACTATGGCACATCTACACCATGGAATACTACGCTGCCATAAAGAAGATGGAATTCTCATCATTTGCAGCAACCTGGATGGAATTGGAGTACATCATGCTGAGTGAAATAAGCCAGTCAATGAAAGAGAAACACCACATGACCTCACTCATTTATGCATATTAAAGAACATTATAAATTGATGAACCAAAAGACAGATATAGAGACAGCAAAGCAACAAGCAGACTGTCAAATTACAGCGGGGAGGGTAGGGAGATCTGGGGGAGATAAGAGATCAACCGAAGGACTTGTATACATGCATATAAGTACAACCAATGGACACAGAACTCTGGGGAGGGAGGGTATGTAAGGGGGGGGGGGGACAATGTTAAAATATTTACAAAAAATAATAATTTAATAAAAAAAATAAAAATAAAAATAAAGTACTGAGCTTGTAAGTGGAATCGAACCCGGGACCCTTCAGTTCACAGTGCCTTCACCTTTAAAAAGATCACCCTCTTGGGACAGAGATGCTTACCCAACTGGCTACCATAGAAGATGATAGCTGAACTGGCTCTGTTTAAGGTATTTGGAGGTAAGCAACGGGAAAGGGAGATGTTTAAGATTAAAAAAAAAAACAGCAGAAGCAAAGGGCCCGAAGGCATGGAAACCAATGGCATATTTAGGGAATGACAGAGCATCCGTGCTGGAGACAGAGCTGTCTGGAGCCTGGTATTTCGTCTGCAGGCAATGCGAGCCGTGAACATTTTCAAATAGGAGAATGGCTTGGCCGTGCCTTGGCCAGATAGCTCAGTTGGTTAGAGCGTGGTCCCATTACCACCAAGGTTGCGGGTTCAATCCCTAGTCAAGGCACATGTAAGAATCAACCAATGAATGCATAAATAAATGGGATGACAAATCCATGTTTCTCCTTTCCTCTCGCTCTCTCTAAAATCAGTCAATAAATAAAAATAAAAGAATGGCCCTAAATGGTTTGGCTCAGTGGATAGAGCGTCGGCCTGCGGACTGAAGGGTCCCAGGTTTGATTCAGGTCAAGGGCATTTACCTGGGTTGCGGGCACATCCCCAGTGGGGGGTGTGCAGGAGGCAACTGATTGATGTTTCTCATCGATGTTTCTAACTCTCTATCCCTCTCCCTTCCTCTCTGTAAAAAATCAATAAAACATATTTTTTTTTAAAAAAGTATGACTTGGCCAACTATAATTTTTAATTTTTAATTAAGTAATACATTAATAAAAAAGAGTAGCTTGGTCAGATCTGAGACTTTAGAACAGTAACTAGGACAACAGCATGGAAGACAAGATTCCAGAGAGAAGTATTAGGCAGCTATGTCAGGAATCCAGGTGAGAGAGAATGAGGTCGCTAACGAGGAGGAGGATGGGAACAGGAAGAGAAAAGGTGACTAATCACAGAGGAGGCTGTCAGACAGCGGGGAGCAGGGGTGAGGGTGGGTGGGGGTGGTGGTGGTGGTGTGTGTGTGCAAAGGGCATCCGGGAAAATGAAGGCTTTACTGATAGCCAGGAAAGAACAAAAGAACAGTTACCTCCTGACCTCACATTTCACAACTGACATTAAACATCCAATGGATTCGAGATTTTAAAAATAAAAAAGGAAGCCCTAACCGGTGTGGCTCAATGGATAGAGCGTCAGCCTGTGGACTGAAGGATTCCAGGTTCGATTCCAGTCAAGGGCATGTACCTTGGTTGCGGGCACATCCCCAGAGGGGGGTAGTGTAAGAGGCAACTGAATCGATGTTTCTCTCTCATTGGGGGGACAGGAGGCAACTGATGGATGATTCTCTCTCCTGGTCAAAGGCATGTACCTGGGTTTGATCTCCAGCCCAGGTAGGGCTGAGGGAGGAGGCACCCAATCTATGTCTCTCTCACACCCCTCCTTTCCACTCTCTCTGAATATCAACGGGGGGGGGGAGGGGGGATATCCTCTCCCTCTCCCTTGTTAATTCATTGTTAATGAATGAGGATTAACAAAAACAAATGGCCAGTAATTACAGGAAATACTCATAACCTCACCACTCATCAAAGAAATGCAAACGGAAGTAACAATAACACCATTTCTCAGCTATCAGACCGGCCAAGATTGAAAAAAAAAAAAAAAAAAAAAAAAAAAAGAGTAATAGCAGCTCATTGCCATTCCTTATGTGGGAAAACCCCGCATTCTCACACGGTTCCAGAGAGAAGCTGGCAACATGTACCCTCTATAGCGAACCGGCAAAAACTTCTATAAAAGGGAAAAGACTGCTTTATTTTTGAACGAGGATTTGGTG